TGCGGTACATTGCCTGGCTGAGAAATATGGCCTTGCCATTACGATATGGAAAAAACTGCACAAGGCGAATGGACCAGATATTGTTTTGCGTCTAAATTCACCAATGATGTAGCAGGTCTCAGGCAAAAGGAAAAGCCGATTTCCATCATCCTTGAAGAGGGGCGTTACACTGGTTTGTTAACCCCCAAAGAAATTCGCACGCCTAAACCATGGCTGTACAAAACGACTGAAAACAAAAGACAATTCTTATTGATCTCACAGGGGGAGTTAAGTCAACAAAAACCTTTGCTCCTAGTAAAAAATCAGTCCGCACATGCAATAGCAAAAGTGTCAAAACCTATCGCAGTGCCAGCAGTGTCAAAACCGCAGATGACGCCAGTCTCCGAACGTATAAATCCTCAGAGACGAAACCAAAGTCCACCAAAAAAGCAGCTGCACAGACTCTGGATCCCCAAAAGAAAACTCAAAGCAATCTCAAAGCCGCAGGTTCCACTGCTCGCAGAAATTTTGCTGCCCCGATCCTAGGAAACTGCTGCGTCAAAAAAAAGACCACCCAAAAAAATACTCCTAAGCGCAAGGCCGTACCTTTGGACGTAGCCAGCAGCCGCGCTAGCATGCCAGATACCACTTGCGCAGATACCAAGCCACGCAGACTCTACTGTAAACAGCCAGATCCCAACGGTCCCAAAAACCCGAAGGATCCCAGCGGAAACACAGACAAACTGCGCTGGGTCTGCCGCTTATGTTCGATGGAAGTCCTCGCCACAAACCGAAAAATGCTGAACTGGCGACGATTGAATCACTTCCGTACTAGGCATCCACACCACACAAAGACAGATTCCGACAAATACATCAAATTTCGATTCGAGCCTATAATTGCTACACATGAAATTCCGGCTGACGCCCGGGACTGGGAATGCCCCTTTTGTAGAAAAGGTTTGCCATCATGTTCCAGCGTTAAGCAGAGACAAATCTCCATTCGCCTTCATTGGAAAACAGATCACCCAAATCAAGACTGTTCCGTGAAAGCCGTGCATCAAAAACGGGCAGAAGCTCAAAGAGCAAATCCTGCAGCAGAACCCGGGATCACTGCGGGAAACGGGAAAAAAGCTGCTCGCATGACAAAGTTGCACGCTGCTAATCGAGATATGAACCGTAACGATCGCCAACTTGTTGCCTTCGAACCGCACTGGCCAACCTGGAAAACATGTTTGGTGGATTCCTCCAATCAAGTCGGACCTTTTTTCACCTGTCAGAAATGTTGGAGGTTCGGACACTACAGAATCTTTGGAGCCAAATGCAAACCCATGAAGTTTTGCCTGCGATGGAACATATTGGATGACATCAATCAAAAACTGCTTGCTGACACTTGGAACACTACACCTGAAATTGCAAATCAGTATTTCCAAGCTACAGACAGCCAGCCCTCTAATCAAGAATATAGCTTGGCCACTGCCAAAAAGCACGATTGGTGCAGCAGGGAATCGAGCCCAACCCAGGTCCGAGCCAAAGTCGAAGAAATGCAGAATTCACAATCAGATTCAGCTCGCTGAACACACAAGGGGTACCAGGCGCCTGGAGAGCACTCCGGCATTTCAATGACCAGAGGGTGCTTATGTTGCAAGACACTCCGTTCACATCAGCCGAATTTGCAGCTTTCCAAAAAGCAGCAACAAAAAGAAATTACCGTGTCTACTGGCAGCCGGGTCATGCCCATGAATCCGGCCGAAAGACAGGGGGTATCACAACTTTGGTACCAAAGAACTTGAATCAGCAGCCGGTGCAACACTCTTTTGACTTGCCATCTCATGTATACGTGCATATTGTACACATTCATGGTATCGCAGTTATCAATATTTATGCACCTCCGGGAGAACAAAAGAAGATGGCAGATCTCTTGATGGATGTTTGGATCAGCCACAATCTTGGAGGATACGCCTGGATTGCTGCGGGGGACACGAATGAAACTCAAGATGGTCACATCGCTGCTGCTTTAGAACAGCTGGAAGGAACTTGCCTCTGTACGGGAAAAGCCACGCGGTTTGAAGGTAAAACAGAAATTGACTGGTTCTCTACCAGCCGACCTCACAGATGCAGCAACTTGGACGTATGTGATGAATTTAAACTTTCTGATCACAAAATAGTTTCCTTGGAAATGCTCACAAGCGCAAAGCCAGCGCAGCGTTTCCGGTTTTGTCCTCAGCCAGCAAACTGGAACAAACCAAGTTTTTTGCAGATGGATCAATGGCAAGAGCTCTTACAATTGGCTTGGAAGAAGCTTGCCAATGAAACTTGTAAACCGTTGATGCGATTAGATCCCTCTGAAATCAATGTAGACCTGGAATGGACCAACTATATGACTTTGCTGAGCCACACCCATCGTGATGCCACTGTTCTCGCAGAAAGCAAAGCCACTGAACCGGCGCATTTTGCAGAGATTCACCGTGCCTTGAGACAAACTAGAGCAAAGCACGGAAAAGGCATCCAACCTCCGAAGGTGCAGCCCGTTCAGAAAGAAATCAAAACAGCAGGCCATTCGCGTGCGAACATGGCTGACCGCAAATTGGCCAAAAAACTTGCCAGGTTACATGCGTTTAACCGCCTGGCGCGCCTTGCCATACAACATTCTAATGCGCATTTCTTGGAAGACTGTTCTGAAAATCTTCAAATCCTTGCCAAGAAAATTTGCATCCATGAAGTTTCTCCCAGCACTGCGTTGGGGCAAATGATGAGAACAGCGAATCTTGAAATTACACAACTTCAAGCGGACCGCGTCAGAAATGAACAGGATTCGCAAAGTCAACGCTTGCAGTTTTGGAAGACAAAGATGCAAACTGGAGATGCCAAAACAATCAGCAAATGGTTGCGCGGCAGAGAAAACCCTATGACAAATGCCAACATCAAACGACAAGGCCAAGTTGCACAAAACAGTGCACAAGCTGCCAAATTCATTTATGATCACTGGCAGGATGTGTGGAATGAAAGCGACAAGCCTACGCCAGAAGCCATTGCTCACACGCTCACAGCCACCTTCCCTTTCAGCGAAAATCCTCAAAGGATGTGACGGTTGGTCCTCCATGGAAACGCAATATATCCCTATTCAAGCAGTGCAACAGCTGTATCGTCTCACAGAAAGATGGTACCGTGCAGCAGCTGTGCCTCGTGCTTTTGAATACGGAAGACAGGTGAACCTCCATAAGCCCAGCAAAATCAAAAACTTTCAACTTGATGCTGCGCATACTCGGCCCATCACAGTTTATTCCATTTTCTGGCGCGCATATGCCAGCGCTTGGATGCGCACACCTGCTTTCCAGCACTTTGCACAAAGCCTACCGGAAGAAATTGCAGGGGTGTACCAACACGAAGGCAGTGAAGAAGCTGCCACAGTCCTCCAGCAGAAGCTCGCTCTAAAACAAGGTGTCCTTGTTTCTTTAGACTATAGCCAATTCTATGACAGAATGAATATACATGCCACCTTTGATTTCCTCGAAAGTATCAGATGGCCGCAGCCTTTGATCCAACAGTTGAGACAGGTGTGGCAAACCAAACGATTGCTTGAATATGACGGACAGGTCCATCCTGAAATTCTGGTCAGCTCAGGTGTCCCGCAGTCCGATAGCCCCACTCACCCTTGCCACTTGGATGTCCAGCGGTTCATGTGCAGTGCAGCAGCTCATGCAATCTGAAGCCTCTTACACTGAGGCAGAAGCATTCCAGGCCACAACACGCATCTACATGGATGACCGATCCTGGGTTGATGCTGATTTTGACAGAGCCTTGCAGAGAGCCAACCAATGGCACCGATGGAGTGCCAGTGTAGGCCTTAAGGAAAGCAGGGAAAAAATCCAAGCTTGTGCTAAGCCTCAAAGGATACATGACCAACTTCCAATGGCTCAACCGGACTGGAGCATCCCAGACCAGGTCAAAGTCTTAGGGGTCAGTGTCCGACCCAAAATGTGTGCCAACACGGAACTTGAAACAGACCGCCTGAAAGCTGCTCTGAAACGAGCCCAGCTCCTGAGTTGTTTGCCTGTTCCTTATCACCGCAAATTGGAAATTTATAAGATGTTCGTGATTCCGAAAGGGCTGTATGGTTGGATTATCCGCTTCCCAACCAAAGCGGACTCCAACAAAGTCTTCAACAGCCTCTCAAAGATGACGGGATCCAACTATGTTGCAAACCCACTCATTAGATCCACTATCTATGGCGGAGCGTGCCACATGCAGGTTTTGTTAGCAACCAGACTCTTCAAACGATTATGCAGAATGAGAAGCAGGGGAACGGCCATATGGACCAATATCCCAGGCACTCCTGCCAAAGCACTCCGAAGCTGGCTCAAAGACTTGGGCTGGCAGGAACAAACACAATGGACATGGAAACGAGATGATATCACTCTTCATGCCCCTCTACACACTGAAGTGACTGCCCAATGTCACCACATCAGAATGTCTTGGCGTGAGACGCTGCTCCGCAAGTGGGCAGGAGGTAAACGCCATGAAGCACAAGAATGGAGGAGATTGACTTCCCCCTTGCAGATGCGTGCTGAAATCCAAAATCTTGACCTTGAAACTGCTAGGAAAAGCTTTATGAAAAGTGATGCACCTGCCCGTGCTATTAATCTTGGCAGCACGGTTTCCCCGGCCTGGATGGGCCGTGAACATGCTGATGGTGATCGTAGATGCCCCTGGTGCAATCAGCTTGGCATTTTTTTTGCACATTGCCTGGCACTGCTCTCAGATTCCAAAGGCGAAAGATCGACCACCCAAACCAACATCCTGGCTTCTGAGCCGTTTTGCTTGGCCGCAAAATAACACACCTGCGAATGTCCACCAACAAGTCTTGAATTGGCTGGCGTACATTCAGGAACTGATTTGGTTTTCTCGCTACGGTTCAGCTAGAGCCAACCATCAGCCACGCTAAGTGGCACACTCAGGTGCTGTGTACGTCTCAAGGGTCACAGCACATACCAAGAAACGGATTGTTTTTTTTGTTTTTCGAGGTATGTATTTGCCATTGTGTTCACGGACGTCTCCAACGAATATGCGAACGGTTTTGAAAATGTAAGCAAAGAAAGTTTGGCTTTCCTGCAGAATTATTTCTTCGATTTGGAGCGCTCCGTCTTCACACTTTTCAGCAGTATTTGCAATGGACTCAATTGGGGCGAAATTGCTGACAAACTGAATGCCTTGAGTCGCGTTTGGGGCTACCTGTACACGATCTTTGTCGCATTTTGTTTCTTCCTCAGTTTTTGTACAGTTCCATCCCGTTCTGTGGGCACATCACCAAAAACAACGTCGCAAACGAATGCATCTATGGACCGAGGCCTGTTTGCGGTGTTGAACGTGATGACTGGCATGAATCATGGCTAAAATGTGCTAAAATGTGGTGCTGTGTGATTCATCTCCATTGTGAGGGTTCCCAGGGTTACCTAGAAATTGGGATTCAGGTTTTGCCAATCTGCAATTGAAAGCGCCGAACGTGATCAAGATCTCCACATCCAAAATGCCATGAACAACAAGCAGCAGCAGGCCGGCAAAAAATGTAAGGGATGAAAGACAACCCAGATAGGTTGCAAGTATGTGAGGAATAGGTTCCTTCAAAATCCACCATGTCATGTCATCTATTTTAAACCTCCCACCATTCGTTTTTTTTTTCTTTGCAACAAAATTGACTCAGCTTGTCCTGGCAGGTTGAGATGTTTATGTCAATCTTCCATATGCTCCAGGAAGATCGGGGTCGCAGGGCGTCAGGCAATATTACCTTCATGGAGTTTGAGCAGCTCTTTGACCGGGAACAGATACGAACTTTCTTCCAGGCTGGACGTTTGCACTGATCACTTTGGGTCATGTCCATGTCCCGCTCCGATGCCCAGAAGCAAGTATCCAACGATGACCACATTTGATAACTTTGACGGACATAATTAGTGGGGATGTTTTTTACATCCAAAATTTGAAAATCACATGGAAAAACCCAGCTGAAAACCATGTTTCATGTGGGTAAAACAATGCCATAAACCACCTATAAATTCATGGTGATGACTTCCTGGGGGATGGTTTTTACATGGCATTGGGAATTACCCACATTTCTTACATCCATTTTACGGCCTTGGACAATTCTGATCTCCAGGCCTTGGATGTGGAGGCCAAAGATGCTTGGACCCTCTTCAAGTTGATGGACGTCTCAGGCGGTGCAAGGGAAAAAACCCGGAAACGGATGGAAATCAAAAAGGAAAAACCAATGGAAAAACCCAGTTGGTGCGGTACTTAGAAGATTCCTTCTGTTGTAGCAGGAAACGCTTTTTTATTTGGGTTTGTAAAAAGCCCATGGGGCCCATGGCTTTTCTCCCAACTTTGGAACATTTTGGAACCCAATGAGTTTTGGGATATCACAACAGATCGCCCAAAAAAAGATGGCCGAGAGCGACCGAAAGTCCGGGAAAACGGACATGAAAAACGTGCCAATGGTGTGCTGATAAAATTTGGAGCTGTTTCTTTATCCTTCCTGAAAGACTATCGCATCTATCGCCAATTAGTAGTTGCCTTGCGATGAATGTGACACGGAACAACCTCACTTCACCCCACATCCTCAGAAATCAACACGTGACTGCGTGACTCTTTGCGGGTGAACGTACGGTGAACGTACCAAAAACATGGGGGCTTCATGCAGTGGGTGTTTGGTCAGCCCTCAGTTTGCCAGTGATGCATCAGGCAACGGTGACTTGGATGCTTCAGAGTTTGTGGATGGTTGCATGCGATTGAAGGGACCAGCCCGGTCCATTGATGTCTCGTTGCTCTTGCAAGAGCAGCGACGCATACGCAAGAAGATTGTGAGTGCCTTGATTGAATCACTATGGCATATCTGCGGGTCGAAAGATTCCATGGATAACGGATTGATATGTAAGCAATACCTCATTTGTGTACACATGTATTGGCTCAATAATTTGCCAAATGTCGTGTTTTTTTTCCATATTTTCCCATGACCCATGACGTGAAGAGCGACCGTATGCGACCATGTCCCCGTGTCCCACACCATGTCAGGCATCGAGCAGATACTCGCTGACCTTCGGAGGGACCCAGAGAGGTTGCGCTCAAAGAGACCCTCTTCAAACCCCAAGGAATATGATTTCGAAGAATTGGCCCTGTGAAGGTGCATGAAGGTGCTAAAACTGTGCCCACGCCCCAAAACCATGAAGATTTCTGTGTTAAAAAAATCCACCAACATGTGGTTGCAATGATTTCCACTGTATCGTTTTTTTTTTCGGAATCTTCAGACCGTCGGGATATGGCATTTTAATCTGCATGTTACATGTAACCATGTAGACTTTAGCAGACTTTAGCAGTGGTTTCACTCACATTGTGCAGATCCGATCCAGGAAATTGCGAAAATTGTGAGATGCAAGCCCTTGAATTCCTTTTGAAAGGCTTCAGTTCCGGTTCAGTATCTCGGACACCCCAATGTATCATTGAGAAGAGACAATTTTTGAGATTCGAACTTCTTGAGAGTGGTCGTGACCGTTCAGAAGGTTCCCAACCCTCTGACAGCTTTCACCAAGTTCTGAATGACACCATTGGTGTCTTTTTCGTTCTAACATATTCAGATAGCTTAGCTTTAACGAATCATCATTTTCACTTCATATATAAATCTCGGTAATCCAGTGAACAGGCCATTTTCCATAGCTACGTTGAATTTCTGGAGGGTCAGTGAAAATTGCGGGCCCAAGTTGATCCAGACGCTGTGTACGGCTGATCTTGGGCTACAATAAGATTCGATCTCGTGAATCTAGTTCTGGTTGGTGGTTTCTAGATGTTTCTAGGACCTTTTTTCCAAGTTTGGATGCCAAATCGATGAATATCTAGGGCTACTGCCAATGAGGATACCGTCCACTCGACGGTAGCGATTCGTGTGCTGCTTTTTTTTGGCTCGAGCTTCCAGGGTCCCCAGGGTGCCGGGTGCTGAGGTCGGTCATGGCAAACAGTTTCGGCCATGTTGGGACTTGATTTTCCAGCGACAACCCCTTTTTTTTTGGCCCAAAAATTATGACAATTCGGTCAACTTCAGGGTTTCGATATGTTTCGATGGGTTTCTGAAACAAAAACCAGTTGTGGTAAGCCTGGTAAGCACAGCCTTTGGTCCGCATTTCAGAGTCCAAGTGTGGTTTCTTGCAGGGGCACAATGGCAGAAACGGCTGAGGCTTGGGGGGGATGCCCATCTGAGGGTTTCCTGTGGATCCCAAGTTCACTGGAGGAATTATTTCGTCAGAATTGGAATGGGAATATGTCATCAACGATATAAAAAAACAAAAAAAAACACTCTAATGCCGGAAAGCAAGATGGAATTACGATGGAATGTATTGAATCATATCCCATAGGATCCATGTATGCTATATATGGTAACATTTATCATCAATATACCCCAAATGTTTGCATATGTATATATATATATATGTATATACACACCATATATGGATCCTATGGGTATTGAATCTGTCCACAACTTGGTGGGCCCAGTCAGGAGAGTGGGGCCACAGCGCCATCGCGCCCTCCGAAGCACGAGTTGGAGAATACCTGGCGAATGCCTCAGACGGCGATGACGATGTGATGAAACGCCACCTTTTTTTTGGTGGTAAACTACGGTAAACCTTGGATAACCACGGTAAATCCATATAAATCCCAAGGGTTTATAGATGTACAACAAAGCATCCATTCTGGGATTTAGCGATGGTAAATTTTTGGGTTCACTACACTAGGAAGCACTAATGCATGGGTTATCAAGCACTGAATGGGATGCACATGTCAAGTTTGGTACACCAGAAGATTTGGGTATTCCCATGACCTTTGCACCGCTTTTGCGCTTGTCAGGTGTCTTTGGGTGCACCACAAACCAGGTTCACAGAAGGACAAAGCCTGGAATGAGAACCAACGAGAAGTTCATTCGTTTGCCACGGTCGAGGATGCCGGGTCTCGGGTTTTGATGGTTCCTACGGTATTTCAGCAGCTGTAGCGATAGGAATTTGAACCTCTCATGCCACAGAATGTGGCCAAGATTGGAGAATCTTGGGAATTCCTATCAGCAAATCCTAGACTTCTAGGGTCAGCATTTCGTCCACATTTTTTTTAGCTTTCCGGATGCCTGGCAGGACTTCTGGTGTATGTGGCATCATGCCTATACGCCCTCGAGATTTGAGAGTGTCGACTACTCCCTCTTCAAAAAAGGTCCGCTTTTTTGATGTGGCTCCCCCTTTGGGGGGAATCGCCACGATGACCAAACGGTCATAGTAAATCATTTCTGGTTGGTGGTTTGGAACGTGACTTTTATGACTTTCCATATATTGGGAACAGTAACCCCAACTGACTTTCATATTTTTCAGAGGGTTGAAACCACCAACCAGATTTTCTCAACTGATATCAATTGATTAATCATCATTTTCTCATTTTTTAACAAGATAAGAATGGTTCCAAGATGTGAGGAATGCACCGATTTTTCCACACCCAAAAAAATGCCGCAGGCGTTGCACCAGCTTGGGAGGATCCTGCTCTGAAGAATGGTGGCAGATGGGTCATCAAATTGGAGAAAGTCAAGGCTCCGTAGACATCCAATACCAAATCCATTTGTTTTTTGATTTAGTTTTGTAAAATTTTGTAGATAATGCATCAACATCTGAACATCTGAGTGTGATGTGCAACTTTCAATTTTGAAATACGTTCATCATCTATTGCGCGCGGCGATATTTTTTCCGCTGTTGATTCATCAACTTGTTTCATTCGATAGAATCCAGTCTAAGTTCATTCAACGACCAACTTGTGAGCAACTAAGCAACACACTGAGCTGTTTAAGCAACGAATCGCTCAATCAGCAGGCAATCAATCAATCTTTCGATCAATAGTTTTTAAGAAAACACACTGAGAATTTTTAAGGAGTGGTTTTACCATCACAAACTGCTTTGCGCTGCGGTCTGGGAGGCCCAAAGCCTTGATAACTTATGGCTTTCTCTGAACTTGGCCCTCATTGGAGAGGTGACGTGTGAGTTTGACGGCTTGTTCTGATGAAGGTTTGATGGGGAAACTTTCGGACATATTGTGTGGGTAGGCTACAAACACCTAAGATTATGTCGGTAAACTTTTGATTCTTACACGGTGAAAGTGGGAGTTTACCGGCATTCGCACCCCCACATATGATCACATATGCCTAGCATGGCTGGAAACCTGATGATAAGTGCTGTGGCCAAAAGTTTGACTACGCCTACACTTAACATGGAACCCATATTTATGGTCATATCCAGGAAAATCATCTTCCCCCCATTTTCAGGGTTCAAATGCTAGAGGGTGCACCGTAATGCCCATGTTCGGCGGTCCCATTTTGGGAGGAATCAATGTACCAACTATGTTGGATTTCCCTAGGGACGGCCCATTCGAAGGACCTCTTGGACTCTTGGGTGATTTTCGTAGTTTGGGGCTTTTCTTTCCCTATCCTTTCTATGAATTTTGGATATGGATTTATATGGTGGGATCCCCAAAACCATAGGTCGAATGACGACTGACCGCAGGCTTTCCACGACCATGGTGGTGAGGTTGTTAGTGGAGCTATTGTCTCAGTGAGGTGCGGGAAAGGAAACCAAGTTGGCTCAAGTCCCACTGAAATAGTGGGTAATATATAAATTAATATATATATATATGTAAATATTGTAAATATCACTTTTGTATCTCTCGGGGGGGGTGAAATATGGTTATATAAATATTTCGGCAAAACGGAGGAAAAGAAATGGCGTAATCAGCCAGAATGTGGGCGCAACGATGATGGTAAGCAACAGTTAATATGGGCCCTGTAGCTGTGTCAAGCGGCCCAGAACGTTGGATAACTAGGTGGCACCACCCGAATTGGGGTTGGGTCCCAACATCATTGGCTTTGTTACTTCCCGACCTACTTGTACTTAGAGAAGAAGCTCAAAACTGGCTGCCTGGCACGTCCAACTTCATGCAATCACATGAAGATTTCCTGGCAATTGAGCCATTCTACATATGGTCAAAATGACCATTTTTGGATTCCTGCTGCTCCAAGCCAGGAATCGTGCCAGCAAAATCGCTTTGTGGCTTTCCACTTCAAAGGCACTGATGGCCATGACTCCATGACCAAAATTCTGGTACCTCGGTGAAGCCCAGTTTTGGGATTTATGGATGGGACCCATCCCCTGGTAAAAAAGCTTTTGACCCATCCCCAGTTTCATGCTTATATACCCTCTGGTTATTTAACATAGCCATGGAAAATCCACCCATTTTATAGCTAGGTCAACCATCTATTTCTATGGGCCATCGATTTTCCATGGCTATGTTAGTCATAACCAGAGGGTATATCCCATTAATATCCCATTGAATCACTATAAAATCCCATTAAATTACTATAAATCCATGGTTTTTCCATGGCTATGTTAGTCATAACCAGATGGTAATTTTTATGCCACACCAATTGGCCGTTCCATCCAATCGGTCAGGACGAGAAGCAGATCATGGCGATCGGCCGCGAATATCGCAGTGCCTGGATGCCCAGCGGTAGCAGCGGTAGTTTAGCTTTGCAGATGGGCTTGCAACCTATATATTCCCGCTAGTTTATTATATATATATGATATATCCCTTGTATAATCCCATTTCCCTATGTATAGATTTCCTGAGTGATGATATGGGTATGGATCAATACCTATTAATACCATTTTTAATGGGATGAACATCCATAAATCCCAGCTATTTTGATGTGAACTACAGGGGTACTATTGGTCTTGACACACTGCCATATATTCCCGCTAGTTTATTAAATCCCGATCGAGAATCACATCAAACATTTGCAAACCATTTTGTGAAATTTACAATCCCGTACAACATATATATATATACATATGTATATATTTATAATATGTAATACTATCTACTTATCTGTCTATCTATCTATAATACTGTATCTGGTTGGTGGTTTGGAACATTTTCGATTTTTCCATTTCATATATGGGATGTCATCCTTCCCATTGACGAACTCCATCATTTTTCAAGATGGTTAAGTCACCACCAACCAGGTATTTATTATTAACCATCATTAACCATCATTAGCCATCATTAACCATCATTAAATCACCATTTTACCATGTTTTAAAACCACCAACCAGTTGGGTCAATCCACATATTCACTAATTATGTCTGTATCCCACCAGGTCCTGGCTGCCACGCCTGGCCTTGAAGATTTGGCCATGAAGGCGCCTAGCCGTTTGCCTATTTTCATCGCGTGGCCTGGCTGTCATGATTGGCAGCGAGATTCGTATGCTATGATGGTTGATAGCAATATACCAAGAATGGACTATTCATGGTATATGTCAATAATATTGAAGGTATTTTTTTCAACCCATGTTTATGAAAAACATTATATTTATTATTGATGGTATAATTATATCGATAGTATATCGAAGATTAACCACCATTCCCCCAATGGTGACCTAGATCTTTCGGCATCAAAACCATGAGCTGAATGCTCATGTTTGAGACCAAATGCATACAAAACACACACACACACATATATATAAATAGACATATACATATACATGTATATGTATATATATATATCTACACACATCGTGTATCGTATATCATTTGAAGGTGATTTTACGGATCACATCCATAGCCTTTTTTTGTTTTTTTTCGTTGTCTTTTGTCCTTTCCAGAGATCAGCTCGGTGAGGAGTTTACCTTCGAGGACTTCCGAAAGCAGTCCATGACCTTTCGCCTCAAAGAGACCGAGGCGGTCGCTCAATCTGCTCCTGCCGCGGTGCGAAACCCAGAGCGATTCACTGGGCGGGATATATCGGATATTGGCTCCAGATTTTAGAGGAAAAAACTCCAAAAAGATGGAGTTGAATCCCAAAAAGGTGGTGAGTCACGAAAATCGATTGAATTGTTTGGGTTGCTCTACATTCGCTCGATATTTCATCACCGCAATGTACATCAGGCTGGCCAATTTCAATGAGAGATTGCCGGGATGGTGGAAAAATGCGTCGAGCCAAAAGAAATGCTGCTGGATTCCTGCAGTGGTGGGTTATCTGTCATCTAACATACAGGTTTGTCTGATAATGGGGGATACCGCAAGTTATGGCCATCAAATCATGATAATATCAATGCAGTTATCGCCATTCGTCGCGCCTGGCTAACAGTGTCTTGAAAGACGGCCGCCCTACGGACCGAAGGCCAGGGCACTGGCTTGGGGAAGTGGCGAAAACCTCGCAGCGGATTCTTTGGGTTTGTAACTGTGTGTACATGCCTGTTTCATTTTTGTCATATATGTGCCCTAGGAAGCTGGTCTTGCACAAAGGTTGGCTCAGAAACTGCCGTGTCTTGCGCAGTTTCGTCGAAGGGGCCCCCTGGTTCACCATACTTCACCGGGCAGAAGTATCAAAGCACGATAATTGAAGTATCACCTTTGATTCAATAAGATTCCTGCAGTGTCACCCAAACCCATGAGATCATCTTTCGTTGTGACGCATGGTTTGACACCGTTCTTGGCTAATTAGGCTAATCGACAGCAATGTGGTAAGCCGAACAATGAACCATCGCAGTTTTGAGCACTTTTTTTGTTGAAATGGTCTTCCCAACCCCCATTTCAGCTTTCGGTGAATGTTATGCTACTAACCATGACCGATCGGAGGTTTATGATAATCTTTGTGGCGTTGATCATTTGAAATTATATCATACAGGATGGGGCCCCCTAGTTATAAGTTGGTTTTAAACCCCATCTAAACATATTTATAAGTATCATACATATTTATAAGTATCATACATATTTATAAGTATCATACACCAATTTCTTATTATAGTTACATTGCCCAACGTTAGCCACCTATCGGGCCGTATGATTGGGTTTATGGTGAATCCCAGGGCTCTATCGCAACCCATGGGAGGCACGTTAGCTGTTAGCGTCCCGCCGCGTTGCGCGCAACGCGAGGTGTTCCCCACCATGGCAGAAGAGGTGACTGAGGCAAAGGTGCGATTCATTTCATGGTCTCTATATGTGTATATATATAGATATGTACATATATATATATAGATAATATGTATCATGTAAATATTCATGATGTATGCATATATATATATATAGATACACACCTATATGTATATATATATATATGTATATGATATACACAAGTATATACATGTATGTATGTATTATATGTATATACACATGATTGTCGATCAAAAAATCCACGTAGAGATTGTCCAGTACTAAGGCCGCCAGGGTTCCAACATAAGACCTCGCGAGAGTTTTTTCTGAGTTTGTGAAAGTCATACTGTATGATGTATGTATTTCCATGCTTCATCATATATGTATTTTGCTTTGTTTGAATTGGTAAAGTGTTTGCCCGGCAGGTTTGGGGTTTCCCAGTGAATCATTTCCAGCAATGGACACCATCGTTGGTGCATCCGCAGGAGCCGGAGGATAGTGCACCCGTGGCGAAGCATGAGCTTCAGCATCGCTGGTGCGGAGTGGTTGAGTGGTTTTCATGGCGCCAAGTCTGATTTGAGTTGTGGCCAAAATTGCCAGGTGTTTGTGGGTGCACCAACGCCCAGGATCGCAAAAGGCAGGGTTTTTTTTTCCGCTCCATGAGTTGTTTCACAGAGAGGTGACGGTCAGACAGGACAAGGCCTGGGGAGAAAGCCAACGAGAAGTGCATTCCTTCGACACGGCAGAGGAGTCGTTGCGATTCTCGCCTCTTCAACTGAGCTCTAAAAAATATTGAGCCGAGCCCCCCAAATTTGATGGTGCCGCTTTTAGGCATCAGCTTTTCTATGAAATGGCTATGGCTGAGGGGTACATATCAGGGAAATCCAGCTGGATCTCGAAGATTGCAATGGTGTCTACCCTTTGACATAGAAACTGGATCCAGTTGCTGAATTTCCAGTGCTTTTTGGCAGGACTTCTGGTGTATGTTTCACTTTTCTTATCCACCTTCGAAGTTGGAAAATGTGGACTATTCGCTGTTCAAGCAGGGCGCCAGGCCTCAGGGATTCTTGCGTGAGTCCAAGGTGTTGAACAGCAGGCGGCAGGTGGCAAGCGCAGCACATGTTTCGTGCAACTCAGGTGTTGCGCCCGCTTGGGAGGTGGGTATCCGGTCATCTTGTGAATTCATGGGCCATGAAAAATATGAAAACAGGCCACAGGAATTTGAAGGTGAACAATTTGGGGGTACCATCTGGTTATTTAACATAGCCATGGAAAATCACCATTTTTAATAGGTAAACCATCTATACATGGGCCATCTATACCATGGCTATGTTAAATAACCAGAGGGTAACCCCACCAATTCTCGGGTCAAATCGTGCAGGATGCCGCTTTTAAGAATGGTGGCAGATGGGTAATCAAATTGGAGAAGGTCAAGGTGCCGCACCCAAGACGCCCTGTGGCCGTCTTGAAACCAATGGCTTTTTTGGGGGTATGGCACTGGAAGCCATGTGAGGAGTCAAAACCGAGGCGACAAAAAGACACATTTTTCTTCTCGATTACAGGGATGTATCCCACTATGATCAACCATAAAACACGTTGCTAAAAAAATCACTTATGATGATAAACGCTGGGATTGTTTATCACAATAAACATCAATAAACGATTAATAATGGGATTAATCCGGGATGTATCACTTATTCTATCGCAAAAACAATCCCATCCTACATGGCTGGTGATTGAACTCACCATTTCCCAGGCGCAGAGCCTTGATGATTTGTGGCTTTCGCTCAGCTTGGCATTGATTGGAGAGGCAAGCAGCCTGGCTGTCAAACACCGTCCCCCAGGTGTTTGAGGAATTGTTTTCGCCCCAACCATAACTGCCATGACTCAAACATATTGAAAATCGGGATGATGATAAATTACATAAATCATACAGTTCTTTTGGACCCATTCTGAATGATGATTTCGATCGGAATCTCAAGAAACCAAGAAAATATCCAAGGATGTGACTCATGTGCTCCGCCTCAGGCCTTCCACGAGCAGGGCGGTGAGTTAGTGTGTGGAGCCATTGTCTCTGTAAGGCGTGGAACTCATGTTCGAACGGAGGTTTTGTTTACACACATTTTTTGGTACAGTTTTGGTCCCATATTTTGCATATATTTCCCTCAAAGGCTGAATGAAGCAAGCTATGGTGATACATGCAGGGTGGTGCCCCATAGTTAGCTAAGTTAGTTTATAAGTCCAATAACTATGGTCTATAGTTGATATATCTATAGTATTCATGGGATTATAAGCCATTTATTTCACTTGGGACAGCACCACCCAAGGTGGTGGCCAGGATGACTTTACACCGCACGGCCGTCTGCCAAGATTCCCAGGAGCCGAGCAAGCAAGATCGCTCTCTGGCTTTCGGCAGCAAAGGCGCATCAATTCATGGCAATCACCTCTGGTTGGTGGTTTCAAAGATGTTTGATGATCCATAAAAAAGGGATGTCATCCGAAACCCATTGACGAACTCACTCCATCATGTTTCAAGATGGTTTGTCACCACCAACCAGATCCATTAACCATCATTAATCATCATTAACCATCATTAAATCACCATGAATTACCTCACCATTTTACCATGTTTTAAAACCACAGCTCCAAGGGCCCCAACTTTCACACGAACTCGGATGGTCAGGATGAAAAGAAGATCATGGCAATTGGCCGTGAGTATCGGAATGTGGGGTCCCCCAGGTCCCCCAAGACAGCCACTAAGGGACCACAGGCAGGGACCACAAGGAGCGCAGATTCCTGACCTTGAAGGAAGGAGTAAGATTAAGATGGAGAAATGTGACCCATACTTGGCTGGTCTTGATATGGTCTATGGTTCTCAATTGATGGTCCAATGAATCATCAAACTACTTTTGTGAATTCATCTGAAGATCATGAAAATCAACAAATGTTTCAACATATATATTTCAAAATGATTCATCTGTTCATTTCCAAAGTACATCATGAAACATTTGTGAATGATTTCAGGGATCATGGATGATGATGGGATTATCCCAGCCACTATCCCATCCCTTCAATATTGATCAACATTGGTGGAATCTATAGATGTTGATATATACATGCTATATAATATATACTTACTATAAACTAGAATATATGTATAATATATATATATATATTCCATACTATACTATTGACATATGTCAACAATCCTATATATATATATGTATTATATGTATATTATATCATGATATATCCCATAGTAAAAATTCCACCATATCAATATGTCAAGTAATGAGAATAGCATGGCATCTTTTCTGTTGATCTTTAGCGCCGAGGTCCTGGCCAGCACCCCTGGCCTGCAGGAGTTAGCCACTAAGGTCCGTGGTCTGTGGAGGGACGCTTTCGGAGGGATCTTCCAGTGATTTGTGGATTTCCGGATGATTTCGGATGATTTTTGATCATTTTGTGATGGTTGTTCAGAGTAGAGAAGGCAGTCTCTGGCACTTTTCTTACCCTTTGGTATCAAATATGGCAAGCCAAGACCCGAACGAAATGGGCATCGAGGAAAAATCATCGAAATGGGGGGATTTTCCAGCCGACACTGCGGAAGGAGCTGACCTTTGAGGATTTCCGAAAGCAGTCGGTCACCTACATCCTCCCGAAGACGGGTGAGCAGACTCAATCAGTGCACCCACCCGGGGGAATTTTTGCTGCGAGGACCTAGCAGATCAAGGACCTGTATGAGTGTGACAGTCCGGACCATTTTTTCTGCATCCACAGCATGTTTGGAAAGCAACTGCGCATGACCCTAAAGGCCCTAAAGTCCCAGAAACACAAACACGACATGTAGAGCGATCCGTGATCCAAAGTGAAAGTACTGGGTTGAGGGCTCTACTCCGTTTGTCCTGCCAGGCCGGCGTCTTTCAATGAAAAGACAAACTCTCTGCGACAAAAAAAGAGCCTTCAGCGCGACATCGGGAAGTGCTGAGATCAATCTTAGCCATCCAAATGTCCCCGGATTAGTCGAACATGGTTTTAAATATGTGGGGCTTATGTGGGGGTGATTTCATCTGATACTACGGTACGCCCGAAAAAAACCACAGCCGTTCCAGGCTCAAGGTAGCCATGTCTTCCACGGGTGTGGCTCTGACCCCAGGTGGGGTGCATCGCATGAAAGCAGGTGACCACGTGAGGTGAAAATGGGATGGATGACAAGGGGCTCTATAATCACTGGTCATTTCAGGATCCTAAAATGGAGGTACCTACCATATCTAAGGCCTATTTTTCAGGCCTATGTAAGGGAATATCCCCACAAAATATGGCCTTATATGGTACAGTACCTCCAGTTTAATGACGTACTCTCACCATGGCACACATTTGCCAGGAACAAGCCCTGCCAGTGCCGAGAGGGAGGCGGCTGTGAGACTGCAAAGAGCTTCTCGGAGACCGACCAAACGAAGATCGCACACATTGTGGACATGACTCATCTCACAACTCGTACTTTAGGGGTTTATGAGATATTTTGAGTCATAGACTCGAAGTTTTTGTGACTGTTTCTTTCTGTTTGCCAGTCATGATATCCCCACATCTACATCATCTACATCATCTACATTCTTGTGAAATGGGGATATCTTATGATTATGTGGATCACCATTCATGGCATATCACCATGATATCCATATCCATTTTTGTCATTTCACCAAGTTACATCTTATCTACATTCCAGCAGCTTTTTTTCTTGGTGAACTCCGATCTCTCGCCATGAAATCTGCCCAAGGCGATCCGGAAAATCCGAAAGATCCGACATGGCGCAGCAGCCAAGGCTGCGATGAGCCCAGGCCAATCATCGTACTGTTGATACAACGACTGTCACGTTTCGGGTTCAAGTTTTGCCATGATAGGGATCCGGGATCTGATGGGAAATGGATGGAAATGGTGGGAATGGAATTGGAATATAACCAATAGCATCTGGTTATGACTAACAGACAGTTTGCCATGGAACGATCCAGCCATTTTATAGCTCGGTAAACCATCTATAAATGGCATATCTTTGTACTTATGATGCTGTAGTTTATGATGAATATCCACAAATATATGATGATACTGATGTTCACTATCATATCTGGAAACATCATATTCTTTGCCACAAGATGTTAGGAGAGATCTTCTCAATGACAATGCCGATGAGGAGGCAGGAAGATCCGACACTTTTCATTGCAAGTCATGTGTTCTCCTGAATGGACCTGCGAAATGGGATGAAGGACTACTTCCATCCACAATAGTCTTTCTCGAATCCGGACAAAGCATGAATTTCATGGATGTCTCTGCAGCATTTCTATCTACAGAAAATCATGTGCATTGCAGTGCTGCTGTACTCCCTTTCAGTGATTGTTTCGGGATATGATCTGTGGTTCGGTGCCAGCTGCCAGGGTGGATTTCGGCCTCTACGAGTTTCCAGCCTTTGCGCTTTTGTGACTTGGATGAGGGCGATTCAGATCGGTAACTTGTTCCGTGCTGTTTGGCAACTCAACCATTGAAGAGTTGTTGCACATGATCAAAAAATCAGACTTCAGTGGCTGATGTGGCTGATTTTTGTAGCAAGCTTGTTGGTCACAAGCAAAGCACCAAATCCATCCAAATCCACCAAATCGCCGAGGTCTTCCAGAGTTGTCCTGGTTTCCTCGGTGAAAAAGTCTTCCTTGGCCGCTTACTTCGGTCTCCTGGCGCGCCTTCGGGGCCTTCGGGGCTGGGTCGGGCCTTCGGGGCCTTGGGCGATGGTGAGCTGCTGAGGTCTGCAGTGGGGTGACATGCTGATGCAACTGCAAGACCGCAGTGCAGACGCCCCTCGGCGAGGCGAGTTTTATATAAGGCCCCGAAGGGGCCCCGAACCGGTTGAAGCGGTTGAAGCGGTGAACTTGGGGAGCTTACCAAAGTGACTGAATATCTGGTTGAGTCTGATTGAATGAATCTGGATGATTTTACAACAGGCTACAGTAATCTCATGATTCTTACGTTGCCAAGGATTGGACCTGGCGAGATCTTCGTGCCTTGCAACTGAGAAAAACCACCGAGACGACAGATATGGATACGACCTGTGCCAAGATGCTGATTGCAGGGTATTCCAGAGTAAATCAATCGAAATCAGTCGGAATCATATGGCGGAAATTGAAGAAGCTCCGACTTTCCACTCGCTCGACTTTGAGCGTTTTGAAGTTCTTGCGATTTGACCTGAGCCCTGTGTGTCCGAAGAATGCCCTCCCGGTGTCGGAAAACATGGCTGGCTGGAAAATCCCCTATAAATATTATAAATGGAGGTTTATATATATATATAATATACATATATATATAATAATAATAATAATAATTAATAATAATAATAGTAATAATAATAATAATAGTAATAATAATAATTATTATATATATATAGCTGTGAAAATAGGATATTTTCGCCCCGTTTGATCGCTGGAGTATTGTCCTTTGTCGACAATGACTTGCCCCCAGCTTTTTTGGGGACATCCCATGGGTCAACAAGAATTTTTTCGTGTAGAATAACATACCCGGCCTGGTAAACGTTTACAAAAAAACTGATGGGAAAATCACCATGCTACTGTTGAATCAATGGCTAAATCCACTATTTCGACTGGGCCATTTTCAAGTTCGCAAACTGTTAGTCATTACCAGAGAGTAATCATTTTCACAACCAACTGGTTCAACCATCAATAAATCAACCAGGTCCCGTTGTTTTTTTTGCCGAAGATCGGCTCTCCACGGCCCCAGGTGCCCTGCGAAGCTCCGGCGCGACCGGCGGCGCGGAGCGAGCTCGCTGGAGCTTCGCCAAAGGCAGCCGCGAGGATCGCGAAGAGATGGCGGCAGTACGGCTGCAGAGCCTTTGGCGCCTGGGCATGGGATGAAGAATGAACGATCTGTAACATGTATTGTGGGACTGGGGCGGAAGTGTCTGAGTTGCCATGATGATGATGATGATGATGATGATGCTGGTGATGATGATGATGATGATGATGATGATTTAGTGATTTGTTTGGGATGAAGCAGATTGCAATCATGTTTGTTTCATTACGCCAGTGCGAGCTCCTATCCACCAGGGGGAACCCAAACCACATCGAGCTGAAGGCCCAATTACCCAATTTTGCACATTTGTGGGTTATAGACTTTGCCGGCTCCTTCTGTTTGATGTCAATAGTCAATAGAGGCTAGTCCACTTCGTATAGATCTTGATAGTCCCTTTGAGCTTGGAAGCATCCTATTTTGCAGGGCTCCTAGCCACTATGGTAATTTGACACAGCTATGGAAGATGGTCATGTTTCGTCTTATAAATCATCAATGGGTTTGTCTGAAAATGGGGTAAAACTATTTTTTTTTGCTTGATCACCATTCTTCCAATCAACAAATGGCTATTTGTACGGGGTATACACCATTTTCAGACACCCAAATGATCCGAACGGGTCATTTCCAGAGGCGCGGCCATCGCGTACGAAGCTGCCATGGCCATCGGCCTCCGATCGTAGCAGAAGCTGCGCCAGTGGAAGGCGCGGAGATAACTACCCTGGAGTCGTGGGTTACCCGAAAAAAGTCGGGTTCCAGGAGGCTTCCAGGGTATACTCCGGAGCACAACGAAGAAGATCCGATGAAAGGTGCCAATCAGAGACAAAGCCATTTAAAACCCGACCTGGGAGCATTCCCTGAAAAAATGACAAATTTTCATGGGATGATGATTCATCAAAGGATTTGGGTATACGGTTGATCCATTTTTTGGACAAACCCAAATATCCTCAATCCTATACTGGCATTACAACTACCATAAGGGTCTTGCGACGGATACAACCTACAGTATAAGCTGCTGTTTTGCCAGATGAGATTCAGCCCTTGCTGGTGATTTCAACCGCTGAGCTTCAGCATCTCTGTCTTCAGGTGCGAACTGTTGGTGTCAACGGGCCAATTTTGGTCCACTTTGATTTGAAGTTCCGGTAGACGTTTGTAGCCTCAAGCAGCCGTGAAAGGCAGGTGTGCAGCATGTTATAAGTTATAACCGAGGTTTACAGTTCAACCTGCTGTGAAAGTCAAACCACAAGACCCTTTCCGACCTGCGTCAGTGTCAGCGCAGCCAAGTGATGATTCCTTTGTGGCGCATTTCCCCGAAGTCACCAGTGTGATGAAAACCCAGTCTTTCCATCCTGCGGTTACCAAGTTTTCTGACCCGCAGATGTGAGGAGCTGCCAGCATTCTCGCATTGGCTCTCGCGGCTCTATGTTGTTTATCAGGTGGGACCACGCAGTGATGGCAGTGAGCAGCTTTTGGTGCTTTCTGACGGTGCCATCAGGACCAATTTAGATCAATTTAGATCAATTTGGGATACCCTCTGGTAAACAAACGTAGCTATTGAAAATGGCCCAGTCGAAATAGTGGATTTAGCCATTGATTCAACAGTAGCATGGTGATTTTCCCATCAGTTTTGTGTAAACGTTTACCAGGCCGGGTATATCCCATTAATATCCCATTTACTCATGAAAAATTCTAATTTTCCATAGCTACGTTAATTTACCGGAGGGTCTCAGCCGTTGCACCCTGGAGGTGGGGCCCGTGGCGAAGCCCGTGGCGAAGCCCGTGGCGAAGCCCGTGGCGAAGCCCGTGGCGCCCGTGGCGGGCGACGTGTTGCGATGCGTTGAGGGCAGAGAGGCGTCCAGCCTTCGAGCCATGGAGCTGGATGGGATGCTTTCTGGCGTGGCCTATGAATAGCTGTGTGTTTTTTTTAATGATGATTATTATATGGTTATTATATGGTTAATGATGGTTAATAATAATCTGGTATTTTGTGATATTTATTCATCTTACTGGTGCGTTTTACGCAGGGAATGAGGGAATGATCCACTGGCTAACTATCAATAATCATCCCAGCAACCCCCAGCAACCCATCCATTCCCTACGAAGCACCAGTAAGTCATCTAAATTGTGGATGTTGAAGTTTGACAATTTAGCATTCTTAACTCATGGATGACATCCGGAACTCAGATGGTAGCACCCAGGCTTCGGAAGGCTTCGTCCAGGGAGTTGGAGTTGTCCTTCTCTGCTGGTAGTCGTGAGGAACGCGAAGTGGTAGCCGCTCTCAGGAGTGGGATTGGAATGGATTGGACATGATGAATTTTTGCATCGCATTGTCAATACTACCATACTGTAGGTAAACCATGAATCATGAATTTTTGCAGTTGATGAAATTTGATGATTCTCGCGGTACAGCACGACGAATGCGAATGCTCTATGCTTATATATGTGGGACAGCTCGCTTTCTGCACTGAACACCAAAGGATCAGTAGAGGGGGAGAGTAGGTGTTTCCTTACGACCATTTTTGCCACTTATGGTTTCACTACTTTGAGCCAGGAACTCAACAGCGAATTTGCGAATAATCCATGCCACTCGAATTCCATGTTTGGCAGGATTCAGGCAGCTTACGGCAGATGGCAGGCTTCAAAGAGGCAATAGCCAGCTGAATGATAGACACGTCGAGTCATCAGAGCCTGATCCTGCTTTGTTTGTGGCAATGGATCTAGTGTTGTATCCTGGTAGGGTCTGTTTCCAACGGACCATCAAACTGGCGACCGTCGCCATGTTACCACGAATTTCAATGGGTCAGCTGTGGTGCTGCATCCCCAAAACTAGGTCTGGAAGCGAGCATTTCTGCAGAGAACTTCTGACCACATGGAACTGTCCAACCATGGCGTATCCGAAATCCAGTGTTTTCAAAACCTAATTTTCTCCGTTAAAATTGCAGTACGTTCGAGTATATTGTATATACCTAAATTCTACACAAGCCCATCACCATGATTCTTTGGTGGAATCGCTAGTGAAATGTGCTGAAATCCGCAATTTCATGATGATGATGATGATGATGGAATCCCCATTTCGGCCTTGTTGATGGTTGAATCCAACTTTTGGTTGGCGCCTTTCCAAGTTGTTGGCCAGGCACTGCCTGGAGCTGGTGGAGTGTGTGCGGCGCCTCGTGCCGGCGCGGCGTTTCGGAGTACGTTTGGCCTTGCGCCGAAGTCGAGGCCTGGGGAAGTCGAGACACTTTGTTTGGAGATTCCAAACAGACACATATATAATATATTTATACATAAACTTATATATATATATACACGCTAGTACTATAGTATAGTAGAATATATTTCTAGGATATTATACGGTATTATGATCATCATTTATCTAATGCTTATTTGAAATGTGGTGATGTAATGTCATGCAATGCAATCTAATGTAAATGGGACCAGAACAGGACACCTTTCACCGAAGCGATTTATGCCTCAAGGCTGGGCGGCACTGTGACGTTGACGTTGATTCGGTTGACCGGAAACAGGTGATTTGTTTAGCCAAATGAAGGGTTTCTGATTTGGGTAGGCGTGTTAGATGAGAAATTCAAATCAGTTCAGGGATCAGAATCGCACAAGAGATGTGTGAAACCATGCGTGGTCCTGGAAACTGCGGTGAGCATGTAATGAGAAGAAGTCACCTTTCGCTTGAATCAATTTCCGCAAAGATCCTTCTGCAGTTGTCCCCCGCTTTTTTTTTCCCTGAACTTGTGTCTTTTTCCGCAGTGGCTCGAAAAGGCATGTGAGTGATACAGCAGTGATACTTGCCCGCCTCCGGGTGTGGCTACCCTTACCCACCTCTTGCCTGCCGAACCCGCCTCTTGCCCACCTTCCGGTGTGGCTACCCTTACCCACCTCTTGCCCACCTCCGTTGTGGCTACCCTTACCCGCCTCTTGCCCGCCTCCCGGTGTGGCTACCCATACCCGCCTTTTGCCCGCCTCCCGGCGTGGCCACTCCATGCTCTTTCTTTTGTCCTTGTTTTATTTGCCCGCCTGCGCCCCCTTCAGCCCCTTCGTCTTGTTTTCTGAATAGTAGCATTCTTTGGACGCATTGCCGAATTTGGGATTCACTCCTATGTCTTTTTTGAATTGGAACTGAACAGAAATTGTGACGCCTAGCAAGGCAGTTCTCCATCTGACACAGATTGGAAAACACAGCGGTGACAGTTCTTGACTGTTCATGCATCAGTTTTGAGCTGGCTGAAGATTGCGCTGATGATGGGCACAAAATGTGCGATCAAGTTGCCCTTCTTCTGCTAAATGAATACCTCCCAGCATTTGAACCCCCCATGGTCCCTGGGATCTAGAAAGGTCACCAATTCTTTTTGATGGTTGAAAACCTCATTTTCTAGAAAACAAATGCCATTTCAGACACACCCAGTCACACCCATATGACCATGTATCGGGATAATAGTACCATTATGTCCCCTCATTTGTTCATATGTGTTCAAAATGTCCCATATTTTGCCCATATTTTCTCATTTTGCTCATTATGTCCCATCATTTGCCCATATTTTCCATCGAGTTTGTAAGTTGGATGATGATCTCCACAATCCCTTGGTTTCCGCCACAGGACGCCGCTGCCGGTGCCGCCGGTGGCGCTGGTGTCCAGAGATTGCCACCAGCGCGACGCAAGTTGCGCGCAGCGGGAGATCGAAGCTTTCGAATTTGGAAGGCCTCAGACGTTGCGGTCAGTTGAAGACCCTGGGAACCGTACCCTCTGGTAAACTAACATACAGTAGCTATGGAAAATCACAATGTTTAACGGGTAAATCAACTATAAATGGCCATTTTCAATAGCTATGTTTGTTTACCGGAGGGTAGATCTTTTGTAATTTTTTTGTACTGTGGATGGAAGAAATCCTGCACCGGTTGGTAGACGGTTTATCCCGTTATCCCATTATGTACAATGTTTCATAGTTACCCAACTAATCAGAATTTTCTTCCACTATTAACCATCCATTTTGCGGCTTACCTGATTTTGACCCTATACTCAATTACTCTGTAAAACCATTGGAGGATCATCCCACTTCAAATATGGGGAAAGTACGGGATATGACCAATGCTTTGATTATGGGTGCGCCTGGAAGCGGGGGGATTGTCCCAGTTATGGCCATTTCAACGGGAAATCCCAGGTTTTTTGATCATGAACATTTGGGGTAGCCTATCAGGCAAAGCCACTTCGGGATTTTTTCCGGCCGACGTTTGATTACCAGAGGGTCTTCATTGTTTGGTGCAGTATTGACCATGTTTTTTTTACGTTTAAGTATCCACCTGCGACCCTGACCATATGGTGGTCAGGGAATATACTCTTGTAGTCTCTTGTATTTGGTTGATTTATCATATTGCTATGATTGAACTCCCCGTTGATCTTTGGTTCATGGAAGCTGGGGAAGTTATAGATGGTGGAAGTGGAATCTTCAACCTAACTTCCCTGAGATCTGGCCATGACAATAACAAGTTGCTCCTCAGGAATGGGGATTCTTGTCCCATCCAGGAATCACATGGAGATGGAATTCCCACCATTCAGTTTGGTGTTTTTTCCCAGCGTTCCCTAAACCTCCCACGGGGATTTCAAAAGGCCACTCCGCCAGGAAGGTCTTGTCTACGTGGTGAAGTCTAAGAGTCCGGCAGCGGCGGTGGGTCTGCGGTGTGGGGATCGATTGGAACAGGTGCAAAGGTCGGGGGTCTAAAATTCCAAGGGTGGTGGCAGTGGGGGCAGCTTGGTGGGTGGAGTCACTTGACTTGAATCTACAAACTTTTGCAAGACACATCTTGAACTTGTAGAAAACAGATCAGGTTTTGTGTACCAATTCCTCAAGTGTCGAAACCATGGCTATGTCAACAGGGAAGTTTCACAAATTGGATTCAGTCCTGGTGCAGGTCTGCACAGGGATGGCTGCAAGATCACCAAGACTCACCCGTTGGGAGACTCTGCGACATGATGTTGCCGGTAGAAACCGAATGGGTCCCATGATTTAAGATGATTTAAGCCATCAAAATTGGGGTATTCCGAAAATTTCCCCAAAAATCCTATGATTTCTCATCATATTCATCATGAAACATGGGACAACTGGCAGTTTTTGCCAACTTTTTCGGGCAAATCTGGAAGTTTTGAGGCTTTGATCAACATGTGGCAGCTGCCCAGTGCAACGGATCTGGACCTTGTCTTTCTGGCTGGTGATGAGGTGACTGAACTCCGGCAGTGGGTCATTTTTCATGGGGCTACCGGGGGCATCGGCTTTACCCACAAGAGACAGGTGCTTTGGATGGTAATATGGTAAGGGAGTTTTGAATGAATTTCAAGGACAGAAAACATGAGGAAACCATCCATTTTGACCATTTTTGACCCATTCCGTGATCATTTTGAGCCGGGACCTCAGAGGTCGGTAGTGTCAACCTAAGGAAAAAATCCCTGGTGGGTTCACTTAGCGGGGTAGCAGCTATTGATAGCAGACGAAGTCAGAGAAATTGGCCGTGCCCGAAATTCGGCCATAAAAGGAGGACAGGGAGCTTGCTGCCGTTGGATCCTCAAACCTGTTGGGAAGTTGGCGCGTGGTTTCTTCAACTGACACAGTTGACCAGAGATATCCATAGATATCCCACATTCTCACGTGATGAATCATATTCTACATATTAATCACATATAATCACATAATATTCAGAATATGATCCAATCTGATTGGTGGTTTGGAACTGAATTTTATTTTTCTATTCAGTTGGGAATGTCATCATCCTCATCATCCGAAAACTGACTTTCACTCCATCATTTTTCAAGATGGTTAAGTCACCACAAACCAGCCATAGTATTTGGCTTTTTCATAGAATTGGATGATGGGAAAATTGGAACCGGAAAGCCCAACCAATTTGATGGCAAAAACCCATGGGTTTCCGGTGAAGATTTTCCCAAGAAAACCAATCCATTGACTTTTGGAGGTACCCAGTGACCGGCCCGAAAACCTTCAGGCCCTTCGGATCCAAGCGTGTTGGAGGGGCCACGGGCTTCGGGCACACTTCGCAAGCACCAGGCGCTGGCAGGGTTTTTCCCGAGCCGTTCCTGGAAACCAAGGCTGAAATTATGGATGTTTAGATGGGGTTTATACTATCCAACATACTGGTGATGATCAGAATCAATTACCATGTTTTTTTTCAAACCAACCAGTAGAAAAAGAAACGACAGAGGATTTGAATTTCTGGCAGGCTTTTCGTGCATTCTTCTTGGTTCAACAGGTTCACGGAATTTCCTGAAAGCCGGAAAAACAACATTGAGGACCAGCAATGTGCCTTTGTAGGGGCAGGTGTTTCTTGTTTTGGAAGTGATTCAAAGTTTGTGATTCTTTCTGGTTGACTGACTTGAGTATTGTGACGTTGGCCGCGCCGCAGCCCACATCTTGCGGTGGCACAGCTGCAGTTGCTGCAGACACAACGTGAATTGCTGGATGTAAAGGCACAGCAAATCACGACAGGAAGGGGGACCTGGGGGTGCTTTGTTGTATGGTTTTTTTGGCATGATGGCTATAACAATGGAATTAGAAACTTTGTAAGTGGCGATAGTTTACCCCTAGTAATATGATCATAACATATCATAACTATGATAATTAAGAATGGTTTAAGCATGGTATAACTATGATCATTAACCACTTATTAGAGGAACTGCATCCTCAAGAAGGTCATGCAGTCAACTGCCTTTCTTGGTATTGAAGGGCGGCTCAGGGTTCTCTCAACGGATGTGCCTTGCATTGAGATGGACTAATTTGTCCAAAATCATTCAAAATCATTCAACATCCGTAATGAATGCTGATCATCACTGATCAACACTGATCATCACTGATCATCACTGATCAACATCTTTGATTTCCACGTTAGATATATGGGAAATCTGGCCAAATCAGGCGCGGCATCCAGACATCTCCAGTTTGGTCGGCTCTCTCCGTGAGAAAGTGGCCCGGAAGGACTGGATGGGCTCCAAAAGCTTGGCTCTAAACATGCCAACAAAAATTGACTTCAAAAGTGCCACATCTTTCAACTGCTTGGTGGTTTGGAACATGACTTTTATGACTTTCCATATATATATATATATAATATATATTTACGAAAGCCAGCCGAAGGCCTGGGCTGAGTATAGGTATAAGCGAAGCGAAGCGAAGCTAATCTAGGGGGTGTGGGGGGGGGGAGGCTCTGAATCGGGCCGTTTTGGGAAGGTGAGGCGGGAGCCTGCCTGGGGAGAGCTCAAAAAACGACCTGCCGCACTTCGTTTTTTGGAGCTCGAACGAGAAGCTCCATTTTGGACACTTGTTGGTGGTTTTTGACGGTTTTCATCTGGTTTCAAACGCCCAAACACTGTAATTTACCGTGTTTTTGTGCGTTTGGCATGGCAAAAGTACGTCTTGTGTATATATATATATTGGGAATAATAGTCCCATTTGACTTTCATATTTTTCAGAGGGGTTGAAACCAGCAACCAGTTAATATCTTTCACACCTTCCAGAAGTTCCAGGTTTCCAGCTTTTTCTATCTTTTTCTCGATCCTGGCTGATGAAAAATCAAATGCCACTGATGGTCTTCAACCTTAGGCTCATCAACCAAAGTTTTGACCTAAACTTGGGAAATTCCATCCAAAATCCATTGCCGTTTCTTGCAGTATTGCTTTCACTTCAGTTGTTTTTTTGCTGGTGAAAGTCCTACTTTTCAGAGGTGTTCACCAATTTTTTCACGACACTCCCGAGGATTTGCCGATGTTTCTCCATGTTTTCCATGTTTTTCTTCATTTTCCCATACTTTTCCCATGGTTCCCATGGTTTTCCTTTGATTTTTTCGCCATGGTTTCCCGCCGGCCACCGGAGGAGCGTCGCATCGATCAGCTGAGCGCCTCAGCCGAAGGCCACGCCTGGGCGCTGCGCGTCCTGACGCAGCGCCTCGAAGCGGCGGAGCGACGAGAACGAACAAAGGCCGAGAACAAAATGATGAGTATTATATGCATATTTGTATATATATATATATATCATGATACATCATATATCGAGAATATATAACATATATATATATATACTGCATATATGTATGTATATATATATACACATAGAGAATGTATGTATATACACATATGAGATGTATTAGGTAGCTATATATATATGTATATATGTAATATGTACATTATATATACATTATATATATATATATTATGCCAGCACACACGTATATATGGTGTACACATAATGTACCATAAAGAAGTGTATACACATCACACCATGAATCGTTCTCAATTTTTTCCTCGGGATTTCGTGATGGTTCAGGCCGTGGCGCAGTCGGATCTATCACTCAGACAGCTTGGTGCTCTACGACGCTTGGATGGGCTGCCGGATGCTGTGGAGAGTGGTGACAGCGTGGTGAACGGTGTGAACGCTGCAGCCGTTAGACCTGTGATGTGTGAGGTGGCGTGTGCCACTGACATGGATGCAGAGGATGTGGATGAAGTGGAAGCTTTGAAGTCGGAACTGGAAGCCCTGAAACAGCAGCAGAAAGAACATCCTAAAGAGTATGCAGACAAAGGGGTACCTTGCAGTGACGATGAATCTGATCCTGCGCAAGAAGTTCCACAGGAAGTTCCACAGGAAGTTCCACAGGTTCCCACGCTGGCCTTGTTGGACAAGGACAGCTTGATATGTGTCTCGTTTGCTGGATATTCTAGACTTCTAGACCTTCGCTGTGCATCAAACCACGAAAACACAAAAAACGGATGTTTCTGAAAGTTAGAGATTCACTTTGGTTCAACTTTGTTTCTAAACATTTGTAGTTAAACCGTTAAACCACTGAAACCGAGAGTCTCAAAGATGCGAAGGAAGACTTCTCAGATGAGTTGGATGAGGCAACGACACAGCGATTGCAGGCGGGCCATGAGTCAGAACCCTGGGAGCCTGGGAGAGCTGGATACCCTAAAACAGCTGGTTACCCTCTGGTAATTTAATATAGCTATGGAAAATCACAATTTTTAATGGGTAAACTCACTATAAATGGCAATTTTCAATAGCTATGTTAGTTTACCAGAGGGTAATGGATGATTATTGGAGAGATGGAGATGCAGATAGGAACGTTCAGATAGATAGATATTCAGAGATTATCATAGACATACACACGTTTATGTACAAGTGAGTATTTTAGACGGAAGTGCGCATCTCTCTCACTCTCTGTCTCTCTCTCTCTCTATCTCTCTTTATGTTATATCTATCTCTCATTATCTACCTTTGTATCTATCGACCTGTCTACCCATCTACCATCATTTGCCTATCTACCTGTCCATTTATCTCACTTGGGAGACACAACGTCTCACTGGCAGGAGATTTCTCAAAGTATGGCCGCCATGACGCGAGCCGAAGACACAACAGACATAGTTCACCAAGGAGGCACGACGGGTCCAGATGTGGTTGAGCATTTGCAGCTGGAAAAAATGATGAAGGTTGGTGAACTGTACTCAGAATCCAGGATAGATATGGATGCAAGGATGTGTTTCAACAATGGTGAAATTCATGACATTTGATGCAAGAGCAGTGAACTGACACGGTTGGTGGATTTGTTGTGGGCATCTTCTTGAAACTCCATCGGTACAGCAGCCCAAAAGCCCTGCGGTTTGTTTGACATCCGTTTTGTGAACAACATGTCAGAATTTTGGGAGCTTTGGGGTGATGATTTGGATGCCTTCGGCACCACTGAATTTCCAGCCTCGTATGCGACGCTGCCAGGGAGTTTGTTCATCACGCTGTTGGCACGTAGTGGCAAGCTTGGCTTCAGATTGACAGCAGCACCAGGCAACAATGGTCCGAACTTTGGATCGGGGAACAAAGCGGACTTCCAACAGATCCTCACAGGCATTTTCCATGAATTTCCATCATTTTCCATCAATTCTCCCATTATTTTCCCATTATTTTCCCACTTTTGGTGGCGGGATGTTCCTGGTCAAGCCTCCCCGTGTCCCGTGTTTTACGCGTTGTCCCGTGTTCGCGTAACGGCTCCGTCGGCTCTTCCGCAGGTCTCTTGGTCTACCGCACCGAGCGGTGCAGCTGGGCAGAGGCGGCAGGGCTGCGAAGAGGTGATCAACTGGTGAAAGTCAGTGGGGTCGATGCCAAGCTGTTGACACTGGGATCATTTTTGGGTTGATGAATGTTGGTTACCCTCTGGTGAACTAACATAGCAATGGAAAATCACCATTCTTAATGGGAAAATCCACTATAAATAGCCATTTTCCATTGCTATGTTAGTTCACCAGAGGGTAATACTGGTTAATGGTTGATGATTATTCATTTTGGGTGGTTGATGAATGTTGATGATTAATACTGGTTGATACTGGTTAATGACTAACAAGGGTTATTAATGGTTATTCATTAATGGTTCATACTGACTCATACTGGTTAATGGTTGTGAATGGTTATTAGTGATTATTGATGGTTATTAATGATTGTTAATGGTTATTAATTACTGTGATTGTTTAGAATGATTAATACTGGTTGATACTGGAGTTATGAATTTCATATATAATAGCTATACTTTTAGCATGCTTCCCAATGTATGATTCCCAACATTGGATGTGAAGACAGGAAGCATCCCGAAATGGTGCTTAACCAGACGCTTTCCTCTAGAGTTTCCTTGCCGGTGCAGTTCCAGTTATCCGGTGAAGTGGATCTGCACCATACTGTGGATGGAAGAATGGTTGCGAAATCCTGCACCAGTTGGTAAATGGTTTATCCCGTTATAGTCCCAAAAAGTGTATAGTGTTTCATGTTGTTACCGATAGTTACCCTGCCTGGTGCACGATTTCTTCCACAGTAGTTATAGGGTTATCCCAACTTAGGAAAGTTATCCCCATGGCAGGAGGAGACTGGGATGGCACATAAATCCGGCTGCAATTTCGCAGAAGCATACCGTGTTTGCATATGGGTATGATGGTGGAAGCCCTACACACAGTTGCATCCATATATGTATATATATACACGAAAACTATGAAATATACGTATTAAATACTCATAGTGTAGTGTTCCAAGCAGCTGGTTAATGGACGGTTATTCCCCCAAATATGGTAATTTCATAGGTTTTGACCCATCCCCATATGTATTGTATATGTATTTACCATTAGGTGATAATAGGTTTATGACACTATTGGTTATCCCATACAATATGGGGTAATTGTATGTTATACCTATGGCTTTACCATATGGTTTAACCTATTGGATGATATCAAAGAATGGCATTGATCCATTGGTTTATGTCATGGACCTGGGACCACCAAGCGCCATGAAACCACCGACCGACCATCGACTGGGCTGTCATCATGGGCTCATGGGACCAGCCATAATACGTGCACACACACACACACGTCACTATTACATACATACATAATATATAAGCAACATGCGCATCTACACAATACGTCTACATAGAGATGGATTTTCGGACGAGATGAAATTAGATTCGATGAGATTACATAGATGAGATCAGATCGGATGGGATTGGATAGAAAGATAAATACCTCTCATCTATAGATGCCTATACAGATAGATATCATTTGGTTAAGTATCAGATAGACAATGACAGATACCTATACATCTAATGTGGGAACAATGCCATAAACCATCCCCCAGTCATCACCATTTATTCATAGGTGGTATAAACTTACCATTTCCAGTCATGGGTAGTTTATGGCATTGCTTTACCCACAGGAAAATCCCTGAAAAAAATCATCCCCTGGTTGATATTACTATATTATAATCCATTATCATCATCTCATATTAGATCTATGTTTTACTTTGTATATTAGTATATTATACTATATTATGATCCATTATCATCATCTATTGATCACTTTATACCCCAATTTTTACCCACAACAACCACCCCAAAGAGATGCAGCCAAGGACCTGGCAGCAGTTGCAGCGTGCCTTGCGGCTGCGGCCTCTGGAGCTGACCTTCTTCCGAGGTCCAGGCGTGACCTCGTGGCATGGCATTTGGATCTCTGGATGACTGGATGATTTCCCATTGGGTGGTTATCCATATTGTCTAATGGTTGTGAACCTATACTACAATGGTCTAATTTATGGTTAATAATTGTGATTAATCATTGTTAATAATGGCTAATCATGGGATTACCCTCTGGTAAACGTTTACATAACTATGGAAAGATCCACCATTTTCTAGCTGGGTAAATCAACTATTTCGACTGGGCCATTTTCCCAGAGGGTACTGGATGATTTTCTGAAGTGCCAAAAACAGGGGAGAATGGGATGATTTTTTGGGCAGATGCTGAGCTGCTGGGTCTGAGTGACAGGAACTGGGCCATCACATCTCTTGGAGCAGATAGCGGAAACATTGTCAGGTGGGAACCCGGGTCCCAGGATGTTCCACGAGATCCCATTGGTTTACTATGCTTTACCACAGATCCCCACAGACTCAGGGTGTTTTGGCATTGATTTTCTGCGTGGACTTGGAGAGTTCTTGAACCTAGCCCACAGCTTTTTCAGTGGTCCTTCCAGGTTTTCGAGCTTGGAATCTCAGCAAGGATGACGCTCCGCAGTTTGTGGCATCGCCACTAGAGGCGACTCGAGTTCTGTCGTGGTCGTAACGGATGCCTCTGTTCCACAGCCGGGCTGGTATGGACCTTATCAAAAACCAGACCTCGATTTTGGACATCATGTATTTCATGACAAAACACAAAATTATACATTTGCAGATAGGCCAGAATTATTCCATCCCCAATGCCCGCAACACGTGGCCTTTTGTGTACGGCAGGTGCCTGTGCCGCGTGTGCTGAGCCCCAGCCCAGATCCAGGTGCGCCCAAGGTCGGGCCAGTGCGCACCGCAGGCAGCCCGGATCTGACACCGCGACCCCGCCCGCGGCTGGAGATGTTGGAGGAGCCTTTAGAGGTCTTGGCAGCGGTGGCACAGGCGTCAGCTCGGGAAAGTGGTGAAGGCAACTTCCGAAACGAGATAGTGCACCAAATACATGTGGATATTGATATATTATATGTTTCATAGATAATGTAAAGATGTTTGTATATATAGATGTGACTTCATCAAGATATCGTTCTATATATCCATGCATAGATTCTTTGGGTTGCGCTTTGATGAGCTTCAATCCGTGCAGAATTCCTTGGCCCAGGATGTTTCAGCCCTGCGCTGTGCCAGTGAACGCCTTCGTTCTTCCAAAGATTTCCTGCTGGAGGTGTTACGTGGAATACCTTCGGAGCAGGCACTTTGATCACTTTGGCTACTCTTTTGCCCAATGGACAGCTTTAGATTTAATGGACATTCATTGAAGAACTGATGAGTACTTCAGGGATTCGCTTCTGTTGAAGTGGGTAGCAGATCCACCAAACAATGCAGATCGGTTCCGAACGGCAGATCATTCGAGCATCCAGCTGTGTTTTTGTGGTGGCAATCTATTGGCCAAGAGAGCATGCAACAAGAATGCTAGACAATCACTCAAAAACTGCTCCTTTTTGTGCCACAACTCAGTGCCATAAGGATTGTCTTGTTCATGGCTTGTTTTTCTTGATTTTCTATCCGCACATCGGATGGTATCACTTGACGACTTGGACGGATATGGCTGAAACGTGCTGAAACCGCTGGCCATGTTCAAAACGCTGGCCCCAAAAAGGGGTGTTCCTCCAGGTGGACCGCAGCCGAGCAAAAGCCTTTCATTTCGCTTCGGATGAGTTGAAGAAGGTGTGCCGTTGATCGACCGCGATCTGGGTCCGGGGCACCACTTTGGTTCCACTTTGAAAACATGAGCTGAGGCACAGAAATATGATGAAATGTGTACTTTCCGAAAAGCACATGGACATGCTCAAAGACAATGTGTGATAATCTGTAACAACCGTGGTTGGTTTGCGATCCCTTCGGAAAAATGCATTTGACCCTGCCAGGATCGGCAGGTGGTCAAGGCAGCCGTGCAGTTGGATGCTCCAGAAATCTTCCCAGTGGCAGCAAGGTTCCAGGTGGGCTCCGTTGTTGGCGACATATTATACCATAGTTTCTAGGGGTAAACTATCCCAACATGTGGGGATCATTACAATGGCTATAGCAATTTTGAAATCGCCATAGTGGTGCCAACTCTTGGTGGTCACCATGGTTATACCATGGTTATGACCATTTTTTTGCCACCCCGGGTCTGCACCGCATCAAAAAGTGGCCGCCTGTGCCTTGAAAAGTCACAGGCCGACCGCGAAATCGTGGAACTGGCCGTGAAGCAACATGGCAGTTTGTTGAGCTACTTGGATGAACCAGGCTATAAGTCAACCCCCGAGACTACCGTGGTGAAATCACGTTGCGTCATGTCGGTTTTCTCATGTTTTCTCCACCCCTGGCCATTTCTCCCAGTTTCCTCCGTTCCCCAGGCTTTGCCAGTGAAGAGTTGCAGCACGACAAAGGTCTGGCGTTGCTGGCGGTTCAAAGCGATGGCTGGGCGGTGCAGTTCGCGGCGCCCGAGCTGTGCAGGGACCAGGAGGTGGTGACGCTTGCAGATTTTTCGGGGAAATGAAGGGATTTCCAGGCGGAAAAATGGGGGTGAAACCGTGTAACTAAAGAAAAATGGAGGATTTGACATGATTTGACTTGATGAACCAGGGAAACTTGGGATCTAGTAAGGCAAAAAGTAGGTTTGAGCAGTGGAAATCGACGATTTTATTGACAGTCATAGGGAGTTAAGCCCATGGGAATGATATGGATACATTTACCATCACTTTCCAATGTAGCAGATTGGGATTTGAGGAAAAAAGTTTGGATGGAACTGACTAGAAAGATACCCTATGGACAACCGATGATTAGAAAGAACAGCTAGAAATATTGGATTTTTCTGGATGGGTTACGGAGAGAGTAACAGTATCAGTTGCGGTGAACGCAGCATGGCAACTCAAGAATTGGCATAAGACTAGTGATTGGTACCCTCTGGTAATTTAACATAGCTATTGAAAATTGCCATTTATATATAGTGAGTTTTCCCATTGAACATGGTGATTTCCCATAGTTTTTTGTAAGTTTACCAGAGGGTAAATGCTGACCAAAACATTTGCTTTGAATGTAAGATCCGGCGATCAACGTGACGTGTTGGAAATCTTCCAGCTGTCTAGCAAAGATCTCCGAAATGACGACAGAATCTCAGTTCGATGAATCTTTCTTCGCTAATTACTCAGAAATGAAGATTTTTGATGAAGCTTTAATGGGACTATTGTGATTTGTTGGTAACTAACCAACATTAACCAACTATAGTTCTCATCCCATCCCCCGGTTCGCTCAGGATGGCAGCCTTGCATCAGACCCTGGGTAGCAGGGTACATCCCAGTCCAGTGGGGGTACCATCTGGTTGGTGGTTTGGAACATGGCTGGATTATGACTTTCCATTCACTTGGGAATGGAACAATCATCCCAACTCACGAACTCATATTTACCAACCAGACATGATACATGACATGAAACATGACTAAGTGACACACACAATTCTAACTTGGGGATGGGTCAAAACCTTGTACCCCTGTAGTTCACATCAAAATAGCTGGGATTTATGGATGTTCATCCCCTAATAAACTGTATCTATAGGTATTGATCCATAGCCACTTGAGTTCTTAAAACGATTTCGGTTTCGTCGTTCCCAAGGAATCCTGGCGTCTTCCCCTTTTTGGTTCGCACCTGGCGTGACCACCTCACGGATGTCGCGGGCACCGAAACCGCGGGCACTGTGCCACCAATGATGAGATTGCTACAGGGAGGTGCCGAGTGCGTGAAGGCTGGAGTGCCATTTTCTTCGATGCGACGAAACATCAATTGATTCGGAAAATTGCAGGCAAGATATTGCAAGAACTTCCGTTTTGAAGCTTTTGGTCGCTGATCAATTGCGAGCCAGATCCAACATTGATGTGAAACTCACTATAGTCTGCAGCCCACTGTCCAATTTTGGCACCCATTTCTTTCCCACATCTTTTCAGGACGACCGGGAGCTGGCAATGGCCGCCGTGCAACAAAACTGTGGGCTGCTCAGCACCATGCAGCAGTCAATCGCCCTGCCAATCGCCCATGGCCGAGGTGACATTTTCCCTTTCCTGAGCTTCAACTTGAAGGCAGAGAAAGACTTGGTGCTGCAGGTGGCCAAAGAGAAGGGTGCCCTTCTGAAGCAGCTTGGCAGCTCAAATCCCCAGGGCTCGAAACCCAAGGGCCCAAAGCCGTGCAGAACCCTGGACCCCAAAAAATCCTGGAAGATCTGGCAGGCAAAATCACTGTGTATAGCCAGTGTTGAGGCATGCATCGCCTCTTCTCCAAGCCGACAAAGAGGTGGCATTCATCCGGGGCAACGAAGGCTGCTACACACTTTATCATTCTTGGTGCTAAATCAATCTAAATCACTCTACATCGTCCATATCTCATCAATCTATAGTCTGTAATCAATCTGTATATGAATCATTTATATAATCACTCCTCGATCACCCATATTGGGAGGCAGCATCCTGCCCATCCTTGGTGCCGCAGGTGGTTCTAGCAGCGGTGCAGCAGAACGGCTGCGCCTTGCTCTATGCCTCGCCAGTGCTGCGCCGGGACAAAGAGGTCGTTCTCCAAGCAGTGCGGCAGCCGGGGGCCCTGGACACCTTGGAAGCCCCGGGGTGGCTGAAAATAGGAAGGCCATTGAAAGGGGAAAATGATGATGGTATTTGATGGAATAGGGATGTTGATCTGTATCGTATCCATTAGATGGTATTGATATGTACATGATATTTGGAATCCATTGGAGTTGGGGGTAGCTATTTTTAGACACACACACATATATATATAATATATCATGTGCAGGAGAATCTATGGATTTTCGGCACTGTGCAGAAACTTGATCAGGAACCATGAGATCTTTCCCCTCTTGGTTTCAGACATGAAGGCTGGGTGCTCTGCTTGCTGCACAATGCAGCAGATAACCAAGACTGTGGCTCTACTAGCAAATAAGGGTTACTATCCACTGTAGCGGCCTATAACCCATCTTGATCCATCTTGTACTTCAACATACACTGTAGATATGGGGTTTCCTCAAATCTCGAAAGGTAGCGGTGAGCTACCTGAGTTCCCCCTTGCGTAGCAAGTACTAGGGGGCGAGCGGTGCAAGTGCAAGAGTTTGGGCCGGTTATGTCTTCGTCCGCCTTTCAAGGGGGGTGGGGGCCCCCCCCCCTTCGATTCCCCCCAGGTCCGCCTCTAAAGCTGCGTTTGCAACATAGGCGGACAACAAGGAACGCCAACAGCCGCACATGCCCTTTCATCCACCACGGCGACATACATCCCCGCCCCCAACCGAAGTCAAGACCCGCACTGAAACTCGATAATGTCAAATTGCTCAAGAACTTCGTTGCGTTCACCCTAACAACCGCGACGAAAAATGTCGGAGCAAGAACGTTGCGACGGACTGCGTTGCAGTAGTCGCAAAAATCCTACCTGATATACAATACAGTTAAAGATGTATACAGAGACATATATATATACAAATATAATTCCATGACATATTATCTATACATATACACTACATATACATAGATTTATTATATATATATATATATCTCGGCCTACTCTACCCAGAAATTGTGGGATATTGCACTTTGGCCTCGAAAGGTAGCGGTGAGCTACCTGAGTTCCCCTTTGCGTAGCAAGTACTAGGGGGCGAGCGGTGCAAGTGCAAGAGTTTGGGCCGGTTATGTTTTCGTCCGCCTTTCAAGGGGGGGGGGTTCCCCCCAGGTCCGCCTCTAAAGCTGCGTTTGCAACATAGGCGGACAACAAGGAACGCCAACAGCCGCACATGCCCTTGCATCCACCACAGCGACATACATCCCCGCCCCCAACCGAAGTCAAGACCCGCACTGAAACTCGTGAATGTCAAATTGCTCAAGAACCTCGTTGCGTTCAGCCTAACAACCGCGAAGAACAATGTCGTAGCAAGAACGTTGCGACGGCCTGCGTTGCAGTAGTGTCAAACATCCGACATGATATACACTAGTTCAAGATGTATACACATATATATATATCTACACATATAATTCCATGCTATATTATCTATAGATATACACTAAGTATACATAGCTTTTTTTTTCATATATATATATATATATGCAGACTCTACCCAGGAATTGTGGGATATTGCACTTTGGCTAGTGGTTGCCGAAGCATAATCGCTGCCCCTTGCTCAGCATATCTCCATCATTTGGTGGATTCTGCGCAAGGGTTTCTCCAAGATATTCTTTTCAACCAAACGACTTGGCTAATGACATTTCAATATGTTTCATTTATATAGATAAAAATATATGTTCGTATATCTATATAGAGTTATCCTGTATAATAACTAGAACACCCATAATAATTACAATTAGTAAAAGAACTAGAAAATAATTATCACAACCATATTGCATAACATTTCAGATAACCAAATCCGCCTATTTTTTTTCGTCTGGAGACTACCGGGGCCACATTTGCATAAAAGTCCGTGACGTTTCGGTCTGTACGTACACAGCAGCGTGGAGAGTATCACGTTAGTATAGCGTGACACACTGAGCTGTTGCCGTAGCAACCGATCTCTCTCACTCTTTCTCTGACTATTGCTCTCTCTCTCTCTCTATCTATGCCTCTATCTATCCATCTCTCTCTCTATTTATGTCTCTATCTATCTGTCTATCTCTCTTTCTATCTATCTCTCTCTATCTATCTATCTATCTATCTATCTTTCTATCTGTCTGTCTATCTATCTATCTATCTTTCTATCTCTCTGTCTATCTATCTATCTATCTGTCTATCTATCTATATCTCTGTCTCTCTATCTGTCTATCTATCTGTCTATCTTTTTATCTATCTATATATCTTTCTGTCTATCTATCTATCTATCTATCTATCTCTCTATCTCTCTATCTATCTATCTATCTATTTATCTATCTATCTATCTATCTATCTATCTCTCTATCTCTCTCTCTATCTATCTCTCTATCTATCTATCTCTCTATCTATCTCTCTATCTATCTATCTATCTGTCTATCTATCTATCTATCTCTCTCTCTATATCTCTCTCTCTCTCTCACTCTCACTCTCACTCTCACTCTCACTCTATCTATCTATCTATCTATCTATCTATCTATCTATCTCTCTATCTCTCTATCTATCTATCTATCTATCTATCTATCTCTATCTTCAAATCTTCAAATCTTCAACCAGTGTCCTCTATGTCCAAGCTTCTGTCTTCCCAAGGACGTGTCTGTACAAGGTTGGTTTCGCACTTGTTCGAACTATGTTCGTTTTGACGTTTTATTTTCGAGACGTGAACTTATAGTTCAAGACATAGTTCAAGACATAGTTCCAATTTTCGAACCCCTAGTGTTTTTAACGTTTTGACTTCCAACTGTGCTTCGCGCCACCGCGGGCTGCACTTTTTCATCTCTCATCTGGCCACCGGGCTCCGCACCCGCCGCTTCAGCGACCCTACTGTTCGACCCTCCGGAGCCGCAAATCATTGGGAAAACACGGTGACTCGCGATATACCCCCCTTTTCGCGCATCTGCATCTTCTTTCTTCTGACTCTTTCTCTTCTCATCTTCTCTCTCCTAATCTTTCTCTTCTCGCTGCCTCTTCCCTGCTCTGCTTTTCATCTGTCCATATTGTCGGGAGTTTGCCTTCTAAACTTCCTTCGGCCCTTGAATAACTACAAATAGTCATTACAGTTTCGACCCCATTGCCGTGCACTGTTTCGGCTACTTTGACCGGTAAATCGTCATGTCTGTCATCGATATCTACAGGCATAAGCACCATCGCTCTGTTACTGTGTTCATACCAAGAGGGTTGCCCATATATATAGAAAGGAACTCTCTGGATGAAATGTGTTGTGACAAAAACACCTTTCTCCGTCACTAGACTATGGGAAGTGGATTGCGGGAATCATCCGCGGCCGCACGTTTCAGCTATTTTACCGTCAGTTGATTGTTCAATTTCAGCCTCGGTATTTACTGTCCACCTATAAACCAGTTCATTTGCTTCACCGGATCTCTTACGTTAGCCAAATGCCATGCTATGAAGTCTGAAGACTGGGTGTGTCCGACCACCGGCTAGTTGCACGCTTTCCAACACCATCCGAACATAGACCACTTGTTTCGACAACCACGACATTGACACCTTTTGGGGCGTTGATACACCCTTCTGTAGTCAATTATCCTATCATTCCATCGTTGCTGGTGCTGTTTCGGACGTACCCGGCTGTTTCATGTACGAAGTACGTTGTACTCAAGCCCTAGCAACCTAGGGCAGCTCCCATGTTTTGAGAGTGTCGCGTCACACGGTCCTCAAATAAGATGTTTGAAGAAAATGCTGCTGCAGCCAGCTCCCATTGGACTACTGTGATCAAAATTTATCAGTGGCTAAACCACCCTATGGTCGGTTTGTTCGAGATTGTACCGCCTGATCTACCCAAATATGTGCTTCGCAGGACACTTATGTGATACTTACTTTCCCCATGATATGCCACGAACAGTATCATGGCTCTTTTTGGTTGCGGCTGTTGTCCGGGCTGTTACTTCCAGGACTTGGCAGATCATCCCCCTTAGTCGCCGCTTCGTTGCTGCGGTTACTTTCTAGTCAACATACAAAAAAACAACGGAAATTCACCATTTTTTATAAGTAAATCAACTCTCCTCGTTCCCTTGCTCTCTTCTCCTGTTCCAACCCATGCCTACCTTTCGATCTTTCACCCTTCCCTCTCAAGTAGTGGTACCCCCCCATCATCCCAAATTGGACCATTTTAGTATTGAAAGCCATGGGTTCGCCATGGCCAGGCTGAGCGCATCATTGCTCTGGCCGCAGTGCAGGGAGATGGGATATTGCTCTCAACAGTGCCGAAGTCAATGCAACTCGCATCATTCAGATTTTTGACAGATGCAAGATGGTAGATATGTCATGATATATCAATAAGTAGTTACTATGGCATTACTATGGTTTGTAAGGTAGATATATATATATATATAGATATAATTATATATATATATAATCAGCATTAAGTAGTTACTATGGTTTGTAAAGCAAGTTATAACTGGAAAAATTGCACCACCTTGTTTTTGAAGCCCTGTAAGCCGCTTTAGGCAATGCGATCGGGAAGTGGTGATGGCTGCGGTGCAGCAAAATCCGGCAGCTTTGGAACATGTGGATGTCACCTTGAGACCTGACACATGGCAGCAGGTCCGGCAGGTCCGAGCTATTGGAGTCTGGAGATTTTTGAACCCCAAACGGCGCTGTTTTTCAGTGGGAGTGCCATTGAAGTAGCATATGATCATTAATATTATTGCTATTGAAAGGGAGCCCCCGATGATTTTGAAAAATCAACCACGGTTTAGTCTCATCCGGGCTTGTTATTAGTCAGATCCATTCAGATTACGCATGTGCCATGGGTCAAGACATGGTTTGTTTTCACGTAAAAGAGGATGGTCATAGACCCATTTATAGTGATTAATAGAATCATTTTTTTCAGGACCATAATCGCCACATATATATATAGATATAATAAGCATGTATATATATATATACATACATACATAGACTGTTTTTTCTTGCACACCTGGTGGATTTTTTCGCCAAGGACATCACCGCGGCTCTGGGTTGTGCCTCTGGACAACCTGAGCCTGGCCTCCTGGATGCTGCTGCGAAACCAGTTGGGATATCACCAAGGGATATCACCATCTTTGATAGTTAAGATCCATTCATAATGGATGATAATGGATGTTTGATAATGGATGATAATGGATGATATGATAGTTAAGATCCATTCCATTTATAGTTGATAATGATAATGGATGTTTGTTGATATCACTATAGTGATCGTGGCCTTGCGGCAGTGAGGTCTCCTGCAGAGGTGCTTCCAAGATTGAGCGCGAGAAGCGAGGTGAAAAAGAATTTTCCAACTGGTGTGAGCGTTTCTGGTGTGATGTTCTCAACCACATAACTTGCAAATTTCAATGGGAAATCCATGGTTAATCCATGGTTAATCCATGGTTAATCCATGGTTAATCTATGGTTAATCTATGGTTAAATGAGGGCTATCATGCAAAAACCATCTATACATGGGGGAAATGTTCCATGGCCGCGATTGATTACCAAAGGCTAGTTCAAGGCACTGTCAAAATCAGGGTGCTGGGATGCAAGACACGAAAGTTCCCTGACCAACCCAGTGCAAAAGCGCTTTGTCCGTCTTTGTCACAGGAACCTTGAACATGGGGTCATCCTGTTTCGGCGATGGGGTGCACTTTGAGCAGATTTTGAGCAGAAGAGCAGAACTCTGTGTTTCTGTATGGTCCATAGTTTGCAGGCACTGTCAAAATCAGGGTGCTGGGATGCAAGGCACGAAAGTTCCCTGACCAACCCAGTGCAAAAGCGCTTTGTCCGTCTTAGTCACAGGAACCTTGAATCATGGGGTCATCCTGTTTCGGCGATGGGGTGCACTTTGAGCAGATTTTGAGCAGAAGAGCAGAACTCTGTGTTTCTGTATGGTCCATAGTTTGCAGGCACTGTCAAAATCAGGGTGCTGGGATGCAAGGCACGAAAGTTCCCTGACCAACCCAGTGCAAAAGCGCTTTGTCCGTCTTAGTCACAGAAACCTTGAATCATGGGGTCATCCTGTTTCGGCGATGGGGTGCACTTTGAGCAGATTTTGAGCAGAAGAGCAGAACTCTGTGTTTCTGTATGGTCCATAGTTTGCAGGCACTGTCAAAATCAGGGTGCTGGGATGCAAGGCACGAAAGTTCCCTGACCAACCCAGTGCAAAAGCGCTTTGTCCGTCTTAGTCACAGGAACCTTGAACATGGGGTCATCCTGTTTCGGCGATGGGGTGCACTTTGAGCAGATTTTGAGCAGAAGAGCAGAACTCTGTGTTTCTGTATGGTCCATAGTTTGCAGGCTCTGTCAAAATCAGGGTGCTGGGATGCAAGGCACGAAAGTTCCCTGACCAACCCAGTGCAAAAGCGCTTTGTCCGTCTTAGTCACAGGAACCTTGAACATGGGGTCATCCTGTTTCGGCGATGGGGTGCACTTTGAGCAGATTTTGAGCAGAAAAGCAGAACTCTGTGTTTCTGTATGGTCCATAGTTTGCAGGCACTGTCAAAATCAGGGTGCTGGGATGCAAGGCACGAAAGTTCCCTGACCAACCCAGTGCAAAAGCGCTTTGTCCGTCTTAGTCACAGGAACCTTGAACATGGGGTCATCCTGTTTCGGCGATGGGGTGCACTTTGAGCAAATTTTGAGCAGAAAAGCAGAACTCTGTGTTTCTGTATGGTCCATAGTTTGCAGGCTCTGTCAAAATCAGGGTGCTGGGATGCAAGGCACGAAAGTTCCCTGACCAACCCAGTGCAAAAGCGCTTTGTCCGTCTTAGTCACAGGAACCTTGAATCATGGGGTCATCCTGTTTCGGCGATGGGGTGCACTTTGAGCAGATTTTGAGCAGAAGAGCAGAACTCTGTGTTTCTGTATGGTCCATAGTTTGCAGGCACTGTCAAAATCAGGGTGCTGGGATGCAAGACACGAAAGTTCCCTGACCAACCCAGTGCAAAAGCGCTTTGTCCGTCTTTGTCACAGGAACCTTGAATCATGGGGTCATCCTGTTTCGGCGATGGGGTGCACTTGGAGAAGATTTTGAGCAGAAAAGCAGAACTCTGTGTTTCTGTATGGTCCATAGTTTGCAGGCACTGTCAAAATCAGGGTGCTGGGATGCAAGGCACGAAAGTTCCCTGACCAACCCAGTGCAAAAGCGCTTTGTCCGTCTTAGTCACAGGAACCTTGAACATGGGGTCATCCTGTTTCGGCGATGGGGTGCACTTTGAGCAGATTTTGAGCAGAAGAGCAGAACTCTGTGTTTCTGTATGGTCCATAGTTTGCAGGCTCTGTCAAAATCAGGGTGCTGGGATGCAAGGCACGAAAGTTCCCTGACCAACCCAGTGCAAAAGCGCTTTGTCCGTCTTAGTCACAGGAACCTTGAACATGGGGTCATCCTGTTTCGGCGATGGGGTGCACTTTGAGCAGATTTTGAGCAGAAAAGCAGAACTCTGTGTTTCTGTATGGTCCATAGTTTGCAGGCACTGTCAAAATCAGGGTGCTGGGATGCAAGACACGAAAGTTCCCTGACCAACCCAGTGCAAAAGCGCTTTGTCCGTCTTAGTCACAGGAACCTTGAATCATGGGGTCATCCTGGTTCGGCCGTGGGGTGTGGTTTACATCTTTAAGGGCTGATGTAGATTCAAAGTTTTGCTTTTTCCCATGGTCCAGCCATGAGAACTCTGTGGGACGGCAGCTGCATTGGCTCTTCTGGCCGCTTTTGTGAAGCGATGGCCAGCCATGGTTGGCTCCGGACTCGTAGGACTCCGCGCGGGTCGAAGTCTTCAGCGGAGCTGTTTTGTTGATTTTGTACAACAAATCATGAAAAAACACCATAGTGAAGAAATCAGCCCATTCATGGCTTAGTGGATGTTTTTGTGGTTTTTCAGACTTGGTTTCAGACTGGTGAAGATTGGTGGAACGCAATGACAATTGCAATTGAAATTTTCATCAGATGACAAGTTCCCAAGTGAGTTTGATACCATCGCAGGAGAGGTGAGAGCCTCTGGAAGTGCGAGTGCCATTGAGGCTGGCTGGATGGGGTTGGGCTGTTACTCAACCGCTTCATGGCCATGGACATCACTAAACGGAAATGGTCAAAAAACGAAAGGGCCATTTTCCACGGCGATGAATTGCCCGAGGGCATCGAATCTATGGCTTCTTCGGGTGCTCTCACAAGGGGTGTCTGTTCGGAGGCGCCGAAGCAGAGCTTCAAACCCTTTTTCAAGGCCTTAAAAGAGTCGAAGAGCCGGGGAGACTGGTGTCTTAGATGCAAGAGTTTCATAGAGCTTCTAGATGTGTTTCTGGGAACCAGGTTCATCAGGTCTCCAGGTCTTAGGATCCTAAAAGGATGTTTGGGTCTCAGCAAAACGGTGATTTCTGGAAGGTTGGTACATGATTGGCGTGGATAGGGTTGTGATGATTGTGGGGCAATGGAGAAGCCTAAGGAGCATCACTTTTTGTTGTGTGGATTTTTGTTGACATGAACCTTCATAAGTCAAGCCAGACACCAATCAAGATCTCCTTTGAGGAGACGTGCCATTTTGTCAGACCCTGGCAGTCACGGTTCTGAGGTTCAAAGCCTTGAATGTTTTACATCAAGCTCGCCGGCAAGGTGCTATGTCGAACTATATACTGGTGGATTTTTCAGCAAGCTCTGTGACTGAAGATGAGGGTAGACACAATCTATAAACCATGCCAAATACATCCAAATGCTACCATGAGGAGGTCTAAAATGTTTTCAACTATTGTTTTTAGGTGTAGCAACTTGGTCTGCAAGGTATCCATGAGTAGCTGTAAATGAAATGAACAAAAGATGATGGGACACGAAATAAGCAAATGATGGGACAGACATTTTGGCGTCTTGTCTTCCATTGTTCTGAACGCTTGTATCTCTCTATTAATTGGCCCATCCTCAACCTTTGCCAGTTCCCAAATTCGTTTTGTTTCATGCGTATTTTCTGGGTGAAATCCCTGTTGGATAAAATCCAAAGCTTCTGCGTTTCAATCCCATGTTTTCCACTAAAATCCATATATATATATATATATATTTGATGGCACCCCAAGAAAGTGCAACAGGTCCCTAGATTTTCCCCAGCAAATTGCTGCTCTTCAACCCATTCTTATTTTTAAGGATGTGTTTGAAGATAGGGTCAACATTTCAATTTCTAATGCAGTTCATCATTCCAATCATTCCGCATGGAAAATCCTCGCCGTAAAACATAGCGTATTGCATTTTTCCCATGGTTTTCCCATCCATTCACCACGGTTTTCCCATCTATTCCCATGAATTTCCCATAGTTATTTTATTCCCCATGATTTTCCCCATTTTCCCAGGTTTCCCCAGTTCCAAGGGTATATTTTTCCCAAAGTGCTTCCCATGAGTTTTTCCCACTGTTCCAAGGCCTTGAGCTCAACAAGGTCCTGACCACCTCGGCCCTGTCCTCCTGCGCCGGCGCCGCCTCAAGCGCCGAAACCGCGCCGCGGCTGCGGGGCGCCGAGCCGCTGGCGCAGTGGCGATGGGCGGCGACGCGGCGATGCAGTTGGGAGTTGGACGTGGGGAAGCAGTGAGGAATGATCAAATGGAAAATGAATGGTTTACTAATTGTTTTTAATGGAATATTAATGGTTTATACTATGGTTAATGGAAAATGAATGGTTTAATGAAGTTTAATGTCAACCCCGGATGAGACTAAACCATGGTTTATTAATTGGGGGGCTAGTCCTCCAATAGTCATAATCGAATACTTAAATGGTACCCTCCCAATTAAACAGCCCAGGGGTTTATTAATCCAGGGTTGACATTATGATCGTTCATGATAGTTAATGATAGCAGTTGATCTTCATGTTTTTCAATGTTAATCAATGTTAATTATTGGTAGTTAATGTCAATCAATGTTTTCACATTCCAAATGATTAATCTCATAGAATTGGATCATGGGAACATTTTCACCGGAAAGCCCTTGATCCATATTTGATGGTAATTTTACCATGGGTTTCCGGATTAAGATTTTCCCAACAAAACCAGTGGTGAACGGAGGCAGCGGTTGGGAGCTGGCTAGGGGTATACCCAGATTCCCAACAAGAAAGCCATGGGGAGCCAAGAAGATTTTTGGTGCAAAAAACAATGGTTAATCAATGGTTAATCATGGGAAAATCAGTTAACAACATTTTTTTTTCAGATTCATGACTCAAAAAAATGTCAATCATTCGAAATTATGAAACGTTTTTTCAGCATGATCTATCTAAAGATGATATTTCCAAATAGACTGGTTAAACAGAGGGTATTCTGGATAGATCTTATCAACTGTTCACACCGCTTCAAGCATGAACTGCATTAAGTGCTTTGATTTGGAATGTTTCATACAGCTACTGCATTGGTGGTTTCAACTTTCTGGCTGTTGCATCCCTGCTTTAATTGGGCAAGTTGCAAGTTTCATTTGCCAGGTTAGGCTCTAAAAGATTCAACTTTGGGATTTCTACATCTCACATCTATAACTTATAGTTCACACAATTCGCATATAACATCATATAACTCATAGGTCACTAATGTAATGTAACTATAGTTACTTTGGGATTTCAACTTTACCAAAACTTATAGTCCTTATAGTCCTTATAGTCCTTATAGTTATTTTATCTGGTTGGTGGTTTGGAACATTTTTTATTTTCCCACATATTGGGAATTTCATCATCCCAACGGACGAACTCCATCATTTTTCAGAGGGGTAGGTATACCACCAACCAGGTTATATAGTGGTTAGTAATATTTAGTAATGGTTAATAGCGGTTAGTAATATATATATATATATATAATATGGTTTTCTCCAACCAGGTTAACCAGAGGTATACCACCAGATATTATAGATCTATAAAACATGATGGTTGGGGTCCCTATCAACCATTGTTAGTTATAGTTCATATCTTTGCTGCTCAAGTGATCTTTTAGGTGAATCTTCTGGAGTCGATGCGGCAAGCCGAACTGGAAACGAACCTCTTTGCCTGGCCCGAGCCCTCGGGGTTTCGGGGGTTTCGGGGGTTTCGGGGGGGGTCCCGGGGATGTTTCGGAAATGCAGGGACTTTCTCTTCCAGTCTGATTTTTCCATGTTTTTTTGTTTAACACTGATGTTTCATCAGTCCATGGAATTGAGATTTGGGGATTGGGGATCAATGATGGGTCCCTAAAAGTTCCAACATCATCTTTCCACTCCTGATTGGTGGTGCCGGCCGGTTAGAGGAGTGCCTGTGTCTCCGCCTGTGAGAAGTCGCAGCTGAGTTGGGGGGCTGAGGTTTTTGGGGTTCTGAAAAGTCATGGGGGGATCCTTAAGTCACTATGGGAACTATGGATTTCTATGGGTTAAGCTATACTCAGTCATGGTCAGACTTAGGAAACCTCCATATAGACAATTACAGGAGCTCCAATAAAATGATATCAGAATGATTTCAGAAATTTCAGTAACCAACAAGCATTATAGTTACCAAGAAATGATGGGAATTCTCAGGACCTGTCGTGGTTGGGCGGCCATCCTGAGTTCGCCCAGGTCAAAAAGACGTGCTGTCTCGCCGGGCCGCTTGGGGCTGGCCACTTTTAATAGTGCTGACCTTCACCCCGAATTGGCATACTCGTGATGACTAGGCAATATCCATCTATAGCTGTGGCACCCGGAGTTGGCTCAGGACCCTCTACTTGGTGCAGTTCCCGTTTTGATTGTACATATAACCATGGTTGTGGGATTTATACATATATAATTGTATATACTCTGTATATATATATATACATACACATATGCCTATATCCCAACTCATGGAGTTGATCTCCATGATATTCCCAATTTTATTCCCATGGTATTCCCATCGCAATCCCCAAACAATTTCACATCAAATCCCATTAAATCCCACTAAATCCCATTAAACACCAGTAAACCCCACTAAAACAACAGTAAATCCCACTAAAACAATAGTAAATCCCATCAAATCACTGGGATTTCCCAGGTGACTTGTGGTCACTGGGTCTGCAGTTCCTGGCCAAAGCTGCCAGCGAAGACTGCGGCGTGAACGTGGTGCCCACCAGCGCTGCCCGGTGGCCCAGTGGGACGTGGCGCATTTTGTTTCGCGTGCAAACGTTATATGATAGATCTACACATTTCTATACATATATTGTATGTATGTAAATAAGTATATATATATATGTATATACAGTTTATAGCACATAATACACATATATATATGATTCTACTATATATATATATGCATATATGCAGGTACCTGTGAATATTGTGTGTAAAACGTAATTTGTAAAGCTAGTTTACCGAGACTTTTTTTGGCACGATACATTTGCCAGGCCATAGCCTGCTGCGAAAAAACGCGGCGCTGTGGCCAGTGGGACAGCTGGGGGGATGCGGTTTCGACCGGGCGGGGACAGGCTGAATGAACAAGTTTCCCTTCAGCAAACGTGACGGGCTGGGAAATCCATTGCCAGAAAATCGAACAATAACATTAAACGTTATTTCCAGCAATTTTTGATAGGGAGAAATGATCTTCCAGCAATTTTTAAATAACTTTCGATAAATATTCTGAAACGATCTTCCAGCAGATTTTTTGGGGTGAAATGATTCGAGTGCCTAGACTTTAGCATAGGTTTCACCACAGTAAATCCAGAGTTATAGCCATACCGGTGCCAGGACAGGGCCATCCACCTTCTCCAACAGATGTGCCCAGCTCAGACGGCCGAATTTTCTGGGGTTCGAGTCCGTTGGACCTTTGTTCGCCCGAGGCCAACGAGCTCTGTGGAAGCCAATGTGATTAGTTTAGGCAGGGCATGTCTTGGGGCAACGACAGCCTTTGAACACGGAGAAAGGACTTCGAAACAAGATCGACAGCCAGACATTTCTGATGAAGGTTTTTCATTGATCCATGGCACCCCGATTAAAAGCCGCATAAGCCGCATCTTGGGATCAGGAGCAGTTCTCAGCAGCTGCCAAAAAAGCTTTTGTTGGGGAACGACCTTGGTGTGGGCACCTTGCTGTGCCTGTTTTGATCGGAAGGTTCATGCGAAACAAGGTTTTTAAATCGGGTGTTTCTCTGAAACAAGTCTTTTCTTTAGATCTTTTCCAGTGATTTGAAGTCAATCTGTGTTTTTTTTCTCAGTGGATACGGGTCAGTTCACCAACTGGCCCCTGCTGTTCAGAAATGGGATTTTTGGCTCCCAAGGAGCTGCTGGGCGCAGCGAAACAGCGCGGCCTGCAGCCCAACACGGTGGGGGCCCAGAAGATCACCCCAAGAATCCCCAAAGGATCCCCAAAGGTCTCCCTACTCCCGCGCCCAGATCGTGGTAAATGCTGCAATTTCGGTCTGCCAGAAGTTTCAGACCTGGGAGGTGCCCGATCTGTGGCTTTGGGGTCCAATTTCTTGGGATTTTAGATGATTTTAGTGTTTCTTTGGATCTTCAAGATGGCACTACCATGGCACTATTGGTAGTGTGAGATTGGAATGTTGGCGTGCCAACAGATGCCAAACATCTGTTACAGGCGGCTTTAGAATTGCTTGGGCCAAACTCAAGTGCTGTATCCTTTGGTGCAGCACTGGGCGCTTTTGAACCGGGCAGCGCGGCAGCAACTGCAGAGATGGTTAGGTCTTGGCATTGGCGGTTTCAAACTGGTTATATCCATAAACCAAGTCAACCTCATGGCCAGAGATTTTTCCCTTCAACTACCCGCTGGTAAACTAACATAGCTATGGAAAATCACTATTTTTAATGGGTAAATCCACTATAAATGGCCATTTTCAATAGCTATGTTAAATTACCAGAGGGTACCATGACTTTTTTTTCCAACCTTTTCAAGGAGCCAGCCTTGAAACCATGTGGGTCTTAAGCCATTGGCCAACTAACATAGCTCGACGCCAAGGCTCATGGTTCTGGAGCTTGCAGCTCTTCACCTGCATGACACAGCAGACCTTGCAGCCGATGGTCTCCACTTGGCGCGCTGGGCCGTGCTGGGCCATGATGTCGGAGATTTCTGGATGGGTTACGGAGAGTGTAACAGTATCAGTTTCGGTAAACGCAGCATGGCAGCTCAAGAATTGGCATAAGACTAGTGATTGGTACCCTTTGGTAATTTAACATAGCTATTGAAAATGGCCATGTATAGTGGATTTACCCATTAAAAATAGTGATTTTCCATAGCTATGCTAGTTTACCAGCGGGTAGATGGTTTGTGAACCCACCTAAACTAGAGTTATAATCACCACACGAGTTGACTAAAAGAAACTTGGCTAACTATTTTTTCCACTCGGGTGGGTCAACAACGATTGGCCCTGAAAGCGACTGGCTTTCGGCATCGGCCGGTGTCAGGATCCAAGTCACTTGAGCAATGGCTGCATTCGATACCCCCGTTGCTTGATGGTTATAGGCTAGGGGTTATCAACCTACCCCATATATATATATATATACATATATAAATACATACATACATACATACGTACATACATACATGCATACATACATACATACATACATACATACATACATACATACATATAATTTGTATATATATATATTAGAGTATAATATAATATAATAAAATAAAGTATAATATATATATATATATTGGGGATTCTCATGATCCATGAACTGGGAATCCCCTTCTTAAGCCCAGTGTAGCCAGGAATTCAGCCTTATCTTCAGCTTCGGCGAAATGGCGATGGGCCTCCGAAATCCTAGGAGTGGCTTGATGGGGTCATGGCCAGGGCCAGTTATCCACGAGATGCAGCCCACCAGTTTTAGGTCTGTGTATAGACTCATCCTCCAATATATAATATGTGTGTGTATGTATATATACATATATATATATATATAGAGATATACAAACAAATCTGCCATATACCTTATTAAGCCTAAGGCCTAGTTCTAGACCAACTTACCTATCGTTTGTGGGCCCCTTCCTGTGGTACATCCCCATTTTATACATGTATAAATAAATAAATATATATATATTTACTATGATATTATATATATATAGTATATATAGATATGTAATTATAATGCAAAAATAACACATACATTCCTACATTGTGGACATGTTTCATCCCTATTGATCCGTTTTTGGGTATAGTTTCAGCATGATTATCCGTGTTTATCCTACTTATAACAAGGGTTATAACTCACTGCTGGAATGTGCCACCAAGTATTGTTGCTTAGCTTAGCGCACCATTTCTCCATTACTATCCCGTTGAATCACCATTAAATCCCATTAGATACCATGAAAAATCCCATAAAATCCCACCAAATCTCTATAAAATCCCATTAAATCACTATAAATCCCATTAAATCTCTATAAAATCCCATTAAATCTCTATAAATTCCATTAAATTTCTATAAATCCCATTAAATTTCTATAAATCCCATTAAATCATTATAAATCCCATTAAATCTTTATAAAATTCCATTAAATCACTTTAAAATCCCATTAAATCACTATAAATCCCATTAAATCTCTATAAATCCCATTAAATCTCTATAAATCCCATTAAATCTCTATAAATCCCATTAAATCTCTATAAATCCCATTAAATCTCTATAAATCCCATTAAATCTCTATAAATCCCATTAAATCTCTATAAATCCCATTAAATCTCTATAAATCCCAATTAAATCACTATAAATACCATTAAATCTCTATAAATACCATTAAATCTCTATAAATCCCATTAAATCTCTATAAAATCTCATTAAATCTCTATAAATCCCATTAAATCTCTATAAATCCCATTAAATCTCTATAAATCCCATTAAATCTCTATAAATCCCATTAAATCTCTATAAATCCCATTAAATCTCTATAAATCCCATTAAATCTCTATAAATCCTATTAAATCTCTATAAATCCCATTAAATCTCTATAAATCCCATTAAATCTCTATAAATCCCATTAAATCTCTATAAATCCCATTAAATCTCTATAAATCCCATTAAATCTCTATAAATCCCATTAAATCTCTATAAATCCCATTAAATCTCTAAAAATCCCCATTAAATCACTATAAATCCCATTTGTGCAAGGCAGAGCAGCGCGCCTTTTGATCCTAAAAGAGCCTCCAGTCGTCACACTGATAAGAACAGATACTTCACCTGTCAAGCAGTGATAAGACCAGATCCTACACATACCCTATTGTACATGCATGCACATCAACCCTTTTGCACTCCCCCCACGACTTTGTCGTGCATAAAAGGGAGTTTTCGTGCCTTATGTTCGGCAGGCTCTTTACAGGGCTCAAGGCTCTTAAGATTAGATTTGCCAGTGATGCCAGGTGGTTGTTAGGCTCTACTGGTCTTAAAATCTGAAAAACCTACAGTGCGTAAAGACTCGCACTTTTCGAAGTCAACCTTGGCATGTAAAGACTCACACCGCGGCTGATCTATCGGCAGTAAAGACTCTGCCAAAGGAAAAATGTCCGGCTCTCAAAAGAGCATCTTTTCAAAATTGCGCTCCTCATGGATCATGCCGTAGAGCTCGAAGTCACTGACTGGGCCGGTGAATCGGATCTCACCGTGACCCTATCGGCAGACTCTTCTCGGCGCTCCACATAAACGTTTGTGGAACTTGCTGCAGCTTTCGATGTTGTCATTTGTGGTCGCAACACCGATCGCAGACCCAAGTCCGCTGCAGCTTTGGCTGGCTGAACTCCTTGTTCTGCTCGAAGTTCACCAGTCATACGCAACATGTGAGACAACGTTGCCCTCCGACTAGGCTCTTCCATCATTTGTTGTTGTGGTGGCCGCAAGCTGCCACCTTGATCTCCACCATAACCTGCGTGCCATTGCGGTCGCTGTTGCATCGGAGCAGCTATTGGTGGTTGTACTTGTGGAGGTCCAGGCACATAGGTCTGAGTAGCCCTTGGCATTGCCTTGCCAGGAGGTGGACCTGTTGGAGGTGGTCCCGCCATCACATGAGGTGGTGGGCCCGCTTTGGTGGTGGTCCTGGCATTGCATGGTGCACAGGAACTGCTGGTGGCTTGGCCATGCGGTTCATCCAGTCCTGCATGTTCTGTCGCTGAAACCAAGCTGCAGGGGGAGGCTTTTTGCCAGGCTGAACCATTCCATGCTCAAAAGGAACTCCCGGGTCAGCCTCCTCTTCTTCTGTGCCATCTCTTGTCAAGCCAGTCTTTGGCACAGCCATGACATTTCCCTGGAGCGCAAGTGAATGCGTCACTCCAGGAACCACTGTCCTGCGAAGCATCAAGCCCACCTGCGCAAAGTCCATCTCGACCTGCAATCCATTGAGCACACCATATCTGTAGGTCTGCATGGATCCAACCCAACTGGTTTGATCCCACTGGACCCAACGTCCATACGTCAAAGGGATTGTTTGGCCCTGCATCAGCGCTGTCATCACCTGCTGTACATGCTGCGCTGGCGGTGCTGGTGCCATGCCAAAACTTGCCTTTGCCCGCATCTGTTGCCCCAAACTTCCTGGGACCATCGGCGCCATCTCATGCTCCGGGTCGTTGCGCACCACCCTTGAAGGGCGCGCATCTTCAACCTCTGTGTCCTGCTCCACATGGACTTCTTCTTCAACGTTCTCTGGCTCTACGTTGATCTCCTCCTCAACATTCGCTGGGTCACCCGCAGTGGTCGAAGTGACTGCCACCTCAGTTCCTATGGTAGCTGTTGGTGGGTCTGTTGCAGGCCCTTCGGCTCCACCATCATCACCTCCACCATCATCTCCATCGTCGCCCTCGTCCTCTTCAGGGATGACCTCCATGTCATTCTCAGAGGCCTCTTCCTCCGCCGTCTCGCTGTCATCTTCATGCAAACCATCTGCCACAGGCTCCAAGGCGTCACTGCCCTTCGCCTTGCCCTTCGCTGCATAGTGAGCTCGCAGCTCGCCAGTTGTGGCTGGTTTGCCCTTTCCAAGCCGTGCGACCGAGGTGCGACTTCGGCTGCTGCTGCTGCCAGCTTGGTCTGGGGTGGTGCCGCTTTCCGTCATCTCCTGCACATCCGCAGCGTAGTCCACCGCTGCCGTCGCTGCCTCCACCGCCAGAGCCACTTCATTGGAGTCCCCGCTGGTGACATTCACATGGTCGGCGGTGCGCAACGCCTGGACCGCCTTTGCATTGGCCGTCGCCAGGAGGATGCTTCTCCTCTGTTCAGCCGGCGTATCGCCACGCCCCATCAGCACCGGAGCTGCCTGTGCTGAACCTTTTCCTCCTTGGTCATGTGTGAAGAGTTGGCGAGGTCGACAACCCTTCGCGAAGATCCGTTGCCAGGAAAGGTTCGGACTCAGCACCCCGTGGATGATGGTCGACCCATCTTTGCCCGTCTCAACATCCTGCTTGGTGCCTCTGCCACGTCCCCGAAACCAGTATCCAGGGGGTCGCGCCCAAGCCATTCTTTGCCTTTTGACCTCCAGGGTTGTGCATGTCCTGCGTGGACCTTCTTCTTCATCTTCATCTTCATCATCCGCTGGAGGATCCGGCCCATGGTCTGGTTCTGGTTCTCGTCGATTTCGACGATCTCGGCCAGGATCATCTCCATCTCCACCTGGTGTGGGCATAGCCATTGCACCGTGCTTGCCCTCCAACTGCACTTGCCTTTCAGTCTGTAGGGGCTGCTCCTCATCCACAGCCTCTGAAACCAACTCGTAGCTCCCATCAGACTGCGTGTCATCCACCTGCTGCGCTGGTGGTCTTGGAGGTCGCTCTTGTGGTTCTGGTTCTCGAAGACGTGGATCATAGTTGCGGATCGGCACGTACTCAAACCCAAAGCGACTACCCCTCATCATTCTTGTTCCCATTGCTGCTTGTCCACGTTGTTGAACTGGTCCAAGCGGTTGGGGTTCTGTTCCAGCCCAAATGGCTGAAGTTGTAGGGCTCAACATTGCCACCCTACCACGTTCAGACACCTTGCCAGTGCCCTTTCCTTTTTGGTCAGGCTGACCATCCATCTGGCCTTGTTGGCCCTTGTAGTGGCCTCCTTGGCCTTTTCCATAGCCATGCTGGCCATCATCTTGGCCATTGTGGCCTTTTCCCTTGGTTGCCCTCGAAGCCGGCAGTGAAGAAGTTCCTGTTGCCGAACTCCCTGACGACCTCGCCGTGCTCTCCATTGCGTGTCGCCCGGCACCCAAAACCTCAGTTGGCGGCTCGAGCCCAAGGTCCTCAACAGAGAAGTCCTCAATCGGATCTCCTTCAAGTCCATGCCATTGCTCAGCACGACCAACCAAGTTGCAGTTGAAACCATGCCCATCCCCTTGGCGCCTCTTCGAAAGACCTCGCCGTTGACCTCCCTTCCCATGGCTGACTTTGAGCGCCCGAAGTTGCGGCCCGTGGCAGCCCGAAGGGCAGTTGTCAGGGTTTTGAGATGATCTTTGTGGGGAGGAAACTTGATCCCTTTGAGGATAGTACTCAGCACTAAGACTACGCTCCATGTTCGAAACTCTAAAGTTTCTTTTCCCCTCCACATCGATCATCCCTTTTGGGAAAGGTTGCATGGCCTCCTTTTGGCTCTTGTTGGGCGGTTCATTTTCCCTGCCCTCTTCTCGCATGGTGGGTTCATTTGGGGCCCTCACCATGGTTTTCATCAACCTACGGGGTGGTTCATCTTCCCTACCCTCATGTCTCAACGCCGGTTCATTTGGTGCCCTGACGTTGGCCTCTTCCATGTCAGTTGGTTCATTTTCCCTAACTGACCATGGTGGGGAAGGTTCATTTTCCCTTTCCCTCTTT